TTCAAGGGGGCCGAATACTTTCGCAAGGCACTGTATACACCAACCTGACGAGAGCCAGCCCCCCACAGCCATGGCCTCTGTGGGCTCTTGCCGACCCAGGTGGAGAGAACTGCACGCCTCTGCTGCCACGGGCCAACTCACCCCTCCCACACACATTACATGCGTAGAACGATCGGTAGACCCCATGCTGAAATCGCTCACACAGTTCCCCAACGTGACAGTCCCAACCGCTTCCAATCTGTCAGAACACATCGTAATCTTTGTTGAAGATTATTTAATCTTCAATAAAGATTACTTACCTACTTACAAACCATTTTTCCCCTTCCTCGCTAAGTCCTCTAGACCTCTAATAATCGGTTTGTTGTATTTCTGCCTTTACATATCAACAAAACAAGTGTCATTGGGCAACACGTTTAATTCCCCCCCTCGAAAAAGAGATGATTCAAAGTAATTTTCTATTTCATATATCACAGTACAATTGTTGTGGGCATTTGCCAGACCTATTGTACAATTTTTAGTGGTAGGTGAAACCGGAGCACCCAGCAAAAACCTAGGCAGACACAGAGAACATGCAAACTCCACACAGAAAGGCCTGGAGGTGGAATCGAACCCAGGACCTTCTGGGTTCGATTCCAGGGAATTAATGTCAAAGGATTGCCCCTTGACATTCAGCTCAAGGGGCAATCCCTAATAAATTAATAAAAAAATGTAAAAAATTATAATAATAATAATAATTAAGGAGCACACTGCTTCCTCTACTTTCAGGATCAGGATCAGAAACTGTGACAGCACTGTAAATCAGAGATGAAGGAGATAGACAGGGGAGGACACAGTGTGAAGACAGAAAGTCAATCTGACCTTGAATTGGGAGCTAACAGAGCTTTCATTTTTTTGGAAGCACTTTACGCTTTATGAACTCACCAAATGCAGATCTTTATATGCAATGTGAGATCTTTCAGAACACAAGCCTTTGGATGGATTTAAGAGCAATGGATTACAATCATCTAATCTTGTTGTGACAAATACAAAGTAAATACATGAATTGTATAAATATTTAAAGGAAAAGAGGATAATTTAGACATAGTGGGTATAGTACAGCTGGGTCTAGTCAGCATAATATGGTCATGGATTTTCTTGATGATATTGCCAAAGTATACAAACCGTTCTTGTGCTTAAGGAGAGGCTGTTGGTTGCATTCCCGTGCTTGTCTCCGTGTGTATGTTTGTCAGTGTGACAGATTGGTGCAGGTGTAACAGTGGAATACATGAATAATGAATCCACAGCATTTAATTATTAATCCTACTATTACATAATATTACTTAATCATCACATTTTAATATCTCAACACATAATATCTCAGGAGCTTTATGCAACATGCCAAACCACTTGAAATTATACATGTTTTTCTACTTATAATAATGCATGGGATTCTACTTTACTCAATGTTAATAATTCGAACAAATCCTCATGGGTAGGGCATGTTCACCTCATCTTTTTGGATTCAAGTCATGTTAAGTATGTTATTGAAAATGGAAATGGAAGTAGAAGTGGTAGAATGGCAATATAAATGTTGCTTCTTTTTTTTGTAACAGAAGGCATTGTTTAGAGAAAATGGGTTGGGAGGATGTGTCACAGATATTGGTGTATAAAAACATTTCCAGGTCTGCTTTAACAAAATGGAGTCACTTGTTCTTGTGGCCTGGACAGCTGTGTGAAGGCGGCCTGTCTGACCACATCACACCCACAGGACAGAGGCCAAAACAGGACACAGCTATTACACAGGTGAGGAGAGAGAACGTTTTAACATCTGCAACAAGCTACCAGAAATATGAGGAAAATGACAATTCCTTCAGATCAGATCAAAGATGGAGTCGGAAGTCTCTTTTGGGACAAAGCAAAATATAATGGATGAAAGGAAGTCCATTCAATCAAACGATTGTTCTGAAATAAAGAAATACCTTTTTTGTACTGTGAAAATAGGCAGCCACATAATATGCGTGATTAGAGAAGTCTGCTTATCTCGACTACAAAATCTGTGTAAAAACATGACTTTGAGCTTGCCGTTCCGCAAACCTGAGGCCTGTTGCTAGGAGCTCGTTTGGTTTTGGTGTAAGTTTAGATTGACTTGGAGCGGCTAATTTTCCTGTTGCTGAAATGAGTGTAGTGCCAGGCTCTGCGGCACACACCTCATCAGCGGTCTCTCTGTTATTGGAGATAACGGAGAGACTGATAACGGAAGAACTGCCTCTACATTCTGTTGCTTGAAGTTTATTTTAGCTTTTGGAGTGGAGTCAGTGTCAGTCATTTTCATAACTGGTGCCGGTTGATTTTGCACTGTGTTTTTGTACTTCATTCATATAGGAACGTGAACTAGGGCTGCAAGATATTGTAAATTATTGCAATATTCAATAAGAGTAATTAGTATTGCGATAACGATATAATTGTGATATTTTTGTCTGTCACCTAAAATTGTAATCTGCATTGAAACACAAGATACAAATAACAAAAAATAAGCACAACAATAATGACATTAAAATGCATTTATTTATATACTTTTTGGTTTGTTTGTTGTTCTTGTTGAACGTTGATGTGTCTGTCTGTTTTGTTGTCTTTAATAAAGGAAAAAATCTATGTATACAATATCCATCCATCCATTTTCTACCCCTTAATCCATGTCTGGGTCGGGGGGTGGTGTCTGGGTCGGGGGGTGGGAGTCAGAGATGCACGCAGTACACATAGCACTATGTATATATATATATATTTTTTTTTTTAAATCTTTTCAATATGGATATTGCACAAACAAATATTGCGATAACAATATTTTTTTCAATATATTGTGCAGCCCTACCATGAACATACCAATGCTCACGGACACATTCATGACACGTCTTTTGCCAACTTTCTGTGTGCACTTTTGTTGCCAGTACAATGTTAATAATTCTTTATTTATTACCATCAATATTTCTTTCTACAGACATCAGACTTTATCCATGATTGTGATTGGTTGTTCATCCTTCATGTCAACTTTTATGTGAATGCGTGATGAGGAAGAAGTGGTTTGAACCTGGGAGAACTGGTTTGAGGACAGAAGTCTGAATCGTTGCTTTGTCAGTCTTACATGCTACTTTCCAAAGATATGTAATTTATTTGACATAAAATACACCATGTGGGATGTTCTTGTGTGGTTTGGAGTGTACTACCAAACATGTCAAAATAAGTTCAGATTTTTAAACAAATTGAAAATATAGTTTTCTTCATTCCAAGCAAGAAAATGTGTGTGTGCCCGTCCCATTCTTGGTCTTCTTTTCTACATTCTGTATAAACGATTAATTCATGTGGTTCTTCCAGAAGTGGTTCTTCTTCTGTCCAGCGCTTATTTTGTTGAAATAAATTATGATGAAAATATTTGGTCAACAAAATTGAGATGAAAAATTAAATTAAAATGACTTAGTAATGACAAAAACTGCCTTTTGCCAACAGGAACTGCATTCTTGCCAAAAAAAACCCAAAAACAAAACAAAACTCAAGACAGTATTCCTCTTTCACATTTAATTTCACATTATTGGACGGAACAATGAAAAATAGAGGACAATGCTTGCTCGTCCAATCAGCTCTCAGCCCCAAGCCAATAGTGACTCACAGGGCTCTATACCATAAGCCAAAAATCAAATATTTTCTCTCGGTTTAATTTGTTAACAATTTTACCTTTAGGGTTATTTATGTTGAGAAAACAACATGAACTTAAAAGATTGGTACCCCAGCTTTAATTTGTATCATGATCGTGTATAACATTTCCATATGAACGTTGTATTTTTTTTTAATTTAGCCTTTAAACTGCTATTCAGATTGTTTTTGTCTAAACACCTCATACTTGTTGATGTCGTTCCTCCCACTATGACACATATGAAAATCACATGTTCATTTCCCGCATACTGTGAAGCCCTCCTCATGGCCCCTGCAGTGCCATTATGAAGCAGATTTACACCACTCTCCCCTCAGTCTGAGCACACGTCTGAGCACGCGTCATTAGAGTCAATCTTCTCATTCTCCGCCTGCACACGTGACTACGGCGCTCCGAATAAATCACGTACGTCCCCTTTAATTTCACTCCCCGTGCGTGATATATATTGTGATCATACAGCTGTGTGTGCGGTACTAGAGAGATTTAGTGGCTGCAGCTGCTCAGGCAAGTGCAGCGGCCATCTTGGAGTTTCTGAAGAAGACACAAAACGGGATTGTATAAAAAATTGAAACGCTTTAAATGTATTTATTTATTCATTTGATAGGGACAAGTGTACACAATCAACATTTGATTCACTACAGTATTTACAGCCTGGCTAATTTTCAAAAGCACATGGTTTGGTATTGTGTCCTGATCACAGTCTATGGTCCTGATAATGCAGAGAACTCCACCTGTATCTGTCAGAATGAAAAAGTTTATATTGCGCTGACATGCAGGATTTATTATTTTGAAACTCTCAGATACAGATGTTTTTTTTTTCTCCTTTCCACACAAGCATATAATGGAATGTAAAGCTTGTGTACCTAAATTGCCCTAACTGACCTAAGAGTTTCAAATCAAATTTCATGTTTCTCCCACAAGTAAAAATCTTGTGGCAGTAAAAGTGAAATCTTTGTTAGAAAACATGTTAATTTACTCATACATAGAGCACACTTTGACAGTATGGGTAGAGAGCTGATTGTCCTATCTTTATCACTTTTATGTCAGAAAAAATGAAAAATGATCAAAAGTCAGAAAGGCCAAAAATCCAAGTGGGTGGGGTGCCTGCTATCTGCGTAAAATGTTGCTGCTAACACTTTGCGTGTTTAAAGTGATAGTATGCAGTTTGTCAGAAAAAGAGAGAGAGGAACATGATTTGAAAAAAAAACCGACCCAAGCTCCCTCCCCCTCCTTTCTGATTGGTCTTGAAGCCGCGCCTACTTTCCCGTGCACGCGCCAGGTCAAAGGTGCGGAGGAGAGAGAGAAACCGTTGTCAATAATGGAGTTATCGGAGGTGAGGATGCATTTTTGTTTTGAAATTATTTTTCATGGAGATAACAAGTTTATGTAACTAACTTTGTACTAATACTCTAAACTGGCATGTCCTGTAAATATGTAGTGTTTTCAATCGATTTACATTGTTTATAGCTTGCAATGTTGTTATTACTCATTTGCTATGCTAACAGCTAGCGTAGGATTTACGTATTGTCCGGTCTTTTTAGTGTGTACACCTCTTTAGATGTGGGCCAGATTGTTTTCAATTATTTAAATTTTTGTCATCTTCAGAGCTCTTTTATGAGTGGATCATCTGGTGAGGAATATATTCCCCCTGCAGCATCATCATCAAGGAGAAGCGCTCCAAAACGAAAACGTGCTTCTACCTCTCAAGGTCGAGGAGGGGGTTGGGGGCAAGGCCCGAGTCATGCAGGAGTAGCTGCTGTAAACCTGAGTGACGAGGATTTAGCCCGTGCTCAGGAGCAAAGAACACAGAGGCTAATCGTCGAACATGATGTTGAATATATTCCTCCTGTAGCAACATCTTCACTAAGCAGTAGCGCCCCGAAAAGAAAACGGGCATCTACCTCTCAAGGCCGTGGAAGGGGTCGGGGGCAAGGCCCGAGGCATGCTGGATACCCTGCTGTAAACCTGTATGAGGATGATTTAGCCCGTGTTCAGGAGCTTATAACACAGAGGCGAAACTTTGAACGTGTAAGTCCCTTGAGAAGTCTAACCATATACATAATTTGCATTAAATCATTGCAACATGCTTTCTTTTTATACAGGCACTCATACAGAATCTGTCTCCGGAACAATGTAGGGACGTGCTGACAAAGGCGGTAGATGGAGACCCAGGTGTTCTTTTCGACATAATCACTAACAATGCACCTCCCGAAAGAAACACATCCACTGAAAATCCGCCACCTTGGTGCAGATGTGCACACTGCCGAGAGATGCCAACTGATGTCGAGAAAAAATGCTGCTTGCATCCTCCAGAACTATGCATATCAACTGTAGCACATGTAGAGACATATATAATCCAGAGAGGAGTCTTGCGCTTAGCCCGACGACTCTGGAATGAGTTTCGTGCAATGGTTGATGGATCTGACCCTGGAGAAGACAACCGTCAGTTTCGCCATGCTGCCTACCGGCAGTATGTTGCTTGGCAGCATGGAAGACTAGGTGCTGGACGGCGTGTGGTCATTCCAAGCTGTATGGTGTGGAGAATTAGAGACACATTTCCAGATCCTAACGGGAACTACACTGGGTTCATACCAAGACGATTATAGTTTACATTAGCACTTTTTGTTCACATTGTTGCATTGCTGTTTTCACATGTTCTTTTTGATTTGATAAATAAAAAATATTTCATTACAATACTGTGTAATTACAAAGCTCAACTGCAAATTGCCTGAAAATAACAAATATACAATTGGTTACAGATATAATAAACGGTCAACCACTTTCCATGAAAAACTTTATTTACAAAAACACTATTTACACACAATATAAAAAAAAAAAGTTTAGATTTTATTTCTGAGGCAATCGTTGACCTGTAACAAAACCAGTATATGATATGGATAAAATGATGAATACAAATTCTACATTCAGCATTGTGAGAAGAATAAATTAGTCAATACCATCTCCTCGGGTGCGCTGGTGTTCTAGTAACTCCTGTGTTGTTGGGGCAGGGATAGTTGACAGCAAACCCAATCTCCTTGGGTCCATGGCTCTGTATTTTCTTTGACGTGGGAGTCCTTTTTGGCTGTTCACTCGTGCTGTAACGACCATTGTCTGGAGTTCCGGGATATATGCATAGTCCTTCTCAACTTTGATTGCATAAATCCTCCAGCACCTAGACTTTTTATTGAATACTTTTCTGTATCTAAAATAGAGACATAAAGATGGCACAAAAGTAAAATCATAGAAAAGCAATAAGCATGCATAGTTTATAAAGTGTGAACATACTGTATGGCTCCATCTGCATTCCTTTTAGCAGGTCTATGTACATGGTGATTGTAATCAAGGGCAGCAAGTTGCATTCTCATGTCCATGATGGGCGGGTCGTAACTAAATCTTTTGCTGGCATACATAAGAAGGTGGCTGTGGAATGCTTCCAGGCGTGCGGTTGATCTACAAATAAATTACAGTTTAATTTGATCTCTTCCGTATTTATATATATTGTAAAAACAATACCTGAACTTCAGATACTTTGGTACTTCTTTTAACCAACGTTCTTTCAGAATGATCTCACTTAGAACGTTGTGCGCCGTTGAACCTTTGACAAGCCACTCTTTCTCACGTTCACTTTCCAGTGGGTCATGTTGGCATGCATCTAGAGGCCACACATGTTCCCCAGTGACATGATGCAGCAAGCCCATCCACATGTTCTAACAAATGTTTGATATGTAATTCATGGTAAGTGCATTTGAATTGAACTTTCAAACATTACAAAATTGAGTTGCCAATCAATGGATGGCATTGCTGACTTGGCACCCATTATGCCGCTGTTGTTGTGATGGAATGCAATTTTATGCTATGTTATGTCATCACAAGCTTGATATTATAGTATTTGTATTTTGTAGATACTTACAAAAAACTCCTCATACGTGTTTGCTTTATTGCAGCAGAACCAGAAATGATTGCAAATATCTTTGTTCCACTGTAGTAATATGGAACATCCCTTTTGCTGGCCAGCCTACAAAGAAAAGGGTCACAAATTCAATGCTTGTACAATGTCAATGCACAACAATCTTTCACAAAGCTCACTATTTTACTTACTGCATGTATCTTTTTGCCCAAGTTTTTTGCTCCGTGCCACATATCGTATGTGTGTTCCACACCACTGTCTTTGAATATGCCATTTCCTGTGTGAGTATTACAAATTAAATAAATAATGTAATTGCTTTATATAGGAGTACCATTTCTAATGTCATACCATAAATATGATTTGACTTACGGAAAAGAGCAGAAATCTGTGTATGGGCATCGGTACAGACTTCTGTAAGGTTTACCTCTCCCTTCAGCTGATTGAAGCTCTTGATGAAAGCCTCTCTCTCCATTATAGTAGAAATCCTACCACATAGTCTTTTATCTTCAGTTTTGATGGACATAATTTTCTTCGTCTCATTGTCCATCAAGGTGTAAGTACAGTACTGGGCTGAAAATCCTGGGCTGTCCATTCTTCCATCGCCTGTGTCCATAATTAAAAAATAATGTAAATAAAAAGGTTCTCACCCAAGTAAACAAAAAAAAAAAAAACTCAAGAAATTACCTAGAGCAACAACACTTCTGTCATGGACCTCAGCTATAACCGCTGACCGTTTCTCTTCCCAGAAGCTCTCAATGACATCATGACAGTATTCAGCTTGAATACGGTAGAACGTGGACTTTGCAACCATGCCCATATTCATGTACTTGAACAAAAGGGCTATTTTTGAATAGTTGTTGCCAGATAGGAGTATGTTGGTGGCCAGCATGAAGTCCCCACTCTGCATGCCAAATTTAAATTTGGGTTGAGAGTTCCACTCCCAAACAACATGATCATTTGGACAAATCTAAAGAAGGAAAAAGATAGTAATATACACAATTGCAAAAAGACAAAATGCATTACAGCACTGTAAGAAAAAAAAGGCATTCATACCCATTTTACAACCATAGCTGTTCCTCTGGTAGAAATGTCTGTCTGGTATGGTGCTGGGGCTCCACAATCTGACAAATCTTCCATTTTGGCTGTGCATAATGTAATAGGAATGAGCAGGAACTCTGCAAGTTGCTGCACACACTTGTGGTACACTATTGCAGCCTGCTGACCAACAATGTCTCCAGAAACAGCCACTTTACAATTGTCAGGTATGGACACTGGGTCATCGTGGGGTGCTTCAGGAAGGACAATATCATAAAGTGTATCCTCCTCACTTATGTCCTGGAGATTTTGAAGTTCTATTACTTCTCTCATAGTGGCCCCGGTCCTGTGAACAGTGTGACAAGTGTATTATGTACTCTGTTTTACATGTTCAGTTTACATACACATACAATGAAGTCAACCTTATGCGATATGGAGGTATGTATTCTTCATCATTGCTGTCCTCAGACTCTTCCATTTCAATTGTCCAGTCTTCTTCTGAAGACGAAACATCTTCAGTCTCTTGGCTTGGTGACCATGTTTGGTCATCGTCTGATTCAAGGCTGTATCACAAAAGTAACAACGACTTAGTATGTGATATGTGTAAACTTGCTTTTGTAAGCAAAAGCTCAAATCCTCACATGGAATTTTCTATTCTGTTGTACTCCTCCTCGTTGATCTCTACAGGAATACCACTTGATGGCAAACTAAACAAAACAAAGAACAACATTATTCTAATTTATATCCAAATTGACCATAGTGGCAATCATACGGCAACTAAAAAGTTTCACTTACTGTCCAGTTACAGAGATTGAGACTTCACCTTGCCCCAGGACCTCCACCCCCTCTTCAAATGCAAAATCTCTAAAGAAATAAAAAGAAAATGTTAGTTTTAGCTTTTTCTCTTGCCACTCAAACATTTTATTGTGGTTATGTGGTGTTTAGGTATCTATTTTCCCATGGTTAGTGAAAGGGATGCTTTGGTATTACACTGTATTTGCATTTGTAAGGTCAACACTCATGGCCCTTACTGATAGAGCACTCAAGTAGTGTATTGTTAACAGACATCCCCACCCCACCACTGGCTAATCTAATTTAAAAATATTCTCACCTCTCAGACAAGTCTCCGTGGATACTAGACAGTGCTGGAAAAGCAAATAGCTGTTTTTTGAAAGGTGTAGAGGTTGAAACTTGAGATCCGGTTTGGTAACTGGAAACACAAATATTATAATTACACCAATCGTAACTGCATTTAAATTCTCACATAAAAAGATATCATTTGACTCATATGTAAGGATGGCACAGAATCTGAACTAGCTTCCTGACTCATTCTTTGCTTACACCCTACAGAATATGAATGCCATGTCTATGAGATATGTCTATCTGACAAACAATAGTAAGCACCATAACGTGAAATACAGATAATTATAAACACATAGTTATAAACACTCACACAACTGACTCACTGAGCTAAAGTCACCAGCTGGTTATACAACTTTATAACTACTGTCGAGAACGAACCAGACAGGGACGGATCGTGGTGCGCCAAAGCTCTGGAAGTTTATTTAGGTTTCTCTCAATTTCCAGTGGTTTCAGTTGTTTCTTTCTTTCAGATAGAACAAAGCCAGTACACAGTTTATATAGTCATTGTTACGTCACACATCGAAAGTTATACGTGTCAAACCCAGAGACACCAGAGCATAATAGTCATAACATGAACACAGTCAAAGTCCTTGTAGAGTTGTCTTGCACTTGTCCTGCGTAGTCAAAATAGCCATCTAATCCTCACACTACAATAAATAGCAATAAACACGTTAATCTTTGGCTTTCCAAAAATGGAACTCGCGTGATCCAAAATTTGTACAGTTTTATGGCGCAACAAGTACAAGTAAAACTACTTCAACTAATACTACTACTGTGGATAGCCCTATCTGCAGGTTAGGTTGTGAAAAACATCTGCGTTGGCCAGTCACTGTATTGTACTGTTGAACATTGAATACCCACTGTATTCAATGTTTCACTTGTATACTAGCTTTAGGCTACAAGCTAACGCGAGACAAACAGCTCATACCGCTATTTAGACCGCGTAGTAACGCGGAGAATATGTAAAATACATTACAATGAGGCACCCACTAAATAACATATTCATTCGGGATGAACACTTGTGTCATGCATTTACCTGTCCAAGAGAAACTTTGCCAAGTCTTCGTCCGTTTTGAATGCCTTGAACTCACGAAGGTGTCTCCATCTGTTGAAAACGTCTCCGATATTGATTCTACTTCTGTCTCGCATTCGTTTTTCAGCTAATTTAGTAGCAGGACTTTTGAACTTTTTAAATTTCCTTTGAGAAGTAGAAGGGACACGTGAAATGGGTATCTTCTGCTCTTTAGCTAAGTGTTGATCCATGGCTGCGCACGGGACTTGCTTGTTTCAGAAGCTCAGCGAAAACAAACAACTGAGCATGCGCGCAGCTACGAGCACGAGCGCCGATGATTGACAGCCCTTGGCTTCACTTCATTGGTTCACTTCGACGGCATCGTGGATTCTGAGATATAGCTAAGAGAAGGGAAGGCGGGACTTACTTGTAATATTGGAAATTATAAAATGACTTATTTTATATCAACATATAAGGCCAGGAGGTCAATTTAACACAATTCTTAAAAAATGTAACTCATTCAGAGTTGCATACTATCACTTTAAGGGGAAGGTCTGATAAACCTAATTTCATCTTCGTCCCTTAGTTTCGCTTTTACAGTATATATGGTAGCATCAATCTAAGCAGAGACGCGTGAATGTCCCCATGTGCCTGCTATCCAGCGTCACCAGGCCTGCTGATTCCAGCGTGGCCTGGGTTTTTCCAGTGTCCTCCTTCTGATAGTACATGCCCTATAAACAACTCAAAACAGATCCCTCAGCACTTTCATCTCCTGCCAAATTAAATCAAAATGGATAATTTTACAAATGTCAAAGCCCACGGATAAGATAAATTACACCATCTAAAGGCAATCTATTGGCTTGATGCACTTTATGTGACCTTGGATAGTAAAAGGCGCTATAGCAGTAAAGATTACTTACTTACCTTACTTTGGGCGCCACTAGTTTTGGAAACAAACTAAACTAAATCAAAACCTTCAAAATAAATAATCAATATATTTATAGCCTGCAAGGTCATGGAATTGGATCCCTCTTGGGCCTCCCCAAGGTCTGTCACTTTTTCCTACAGTTTTTTTTTCCTAGTCGTTCCTTGCTGATTGAGGAGGATCTATGGACAGTGATGAATCGGAACATTCATGGACATTGCTTATCCAGCCCCATATGGACCAATGGCATCTATGTTTTTTGTTGTTATTGTATTTCATGTGTTCAAACAGTTTGATTCTCTGATCTGTTGTTGGCAAATGGACAGCTTTGTAAAGTCCTCTGTTGTGATAAAGGGTTATAAAAAAATAAATTTAATAAAAATGTAATTGTTCCAATTATTCAGACAGGGTATAGTAGCCTTTGATTTAATATGTTACAAATCCGTTTCACAATCACCCTTCCATCCTCCTCACAACCACCACGCTGCCCCCTCTAGTCTCACTCATTCCGCTGCTCAGCCATCACCTGCCAGCCCCCCGGCGCATGCGCAGAGGAGGCGGGGAGGCAGCGTCCGTGTGGGGATGCTCCAACGCTGAGGACCGCGCTTTCTACACACATCCATCCATCCATCTGAGCACGGACACTACACCGCTCCTCCTCCCGTGGACTTTACCGCTGCGACATGGAGACCCGCCACCGACCCCGCTGAAGCAGGTGATCCAAGAGACTGGGACGCGATCCAAGCTCTCCTTTGTAAAACAGCGTAAAAAAAAACCAAGAGGGAGGTAGAGACGTTTGACATTGGTGACCGGGAGAAGGGTGAAGGATGGGGACTGCTATTTCCTCCTCACTCACGTCGCCAGAATCAACTTTATCACGCGATTTCCATCTCACGATCGTAAATAATGATAGCGGTCCAATCATGGGGACTCGTCGCGTCGCGTTCAGCTGTCATCGCGTCAAACAGCTGCAGATAAAAGCAGAATTTCGATGTGATGTTAAAATTGAAGAATGCGCATAGTAAAGGTTATTACTGGGGATTGCTGGGCCCGCAGTGACATCTCTTTATAGTAGGGAGGGGGAAAGAACATCTATTTACTATAATACTGCTGTTTAATAAGAGTGGACGTACATTATTGTTAAAAAATATTTTTTTTATTTTTTTGTGTGACTATTTTTGATTGAAATCTATATGTTGTGGTCGATACTCGTTAAAACTATCCACAAATAAGTTAAATTATTTGAATATTTTGAGAAAATTATAATTGCATGTTTTACAGTTATAGGCCACAATTCACTGTAATTCTAACTGTGCATAATATATATGAACAAAAAACATGTATCTCTTTATGTTTTTAATATGAAAAATATGTATATTCATAGGTATAGTTTTAAACATGTCCGAATTGGCTGCATGCGAATTCTCACTCCTCGCCTACACGTCACGGCAGCCTTTGCAAAGGGGGGGGGAAAAAATGCAATTGGATGCGTGGTGACGAAGCGTGGAGTGGAGGAGGCAGCAGCAGAAGCGATCGTTTGGAATTAAGATTTAAGTCACGTTTTCATAGGGTCGTGTGGGGCTGTGCGGTTAATGGAATGTTTAAATGTGTTTTCGGTGTGATTATACAAATAGCTTATATCACGATTAGCGTTATATGTACACAAATAAGCTTAAATTGATTTATTTCGTCTTAAAAGTGCATTAAGGGTGAATGCGTAGGGGTAAACACAGTAATATTGCAGTGCAGAAATGTTGCTCTGATGTTATTTGGAAGTCTATAAAATTTGGGTCTATACTTTGCAACAGGTTGAATTTGTCACTAGTTTAGAAATATTGGTATAACATTGCTATCATAACCATTATTCCAATTAAGAGTAATTTTTCTTTACTTTTTTGAGGTGTTAGTAAGGGTAAGTCGTTATCGATTGTGATTTTAGAAGGATTGTTGTTTGGAGGAGAAAGGCAGACTGGAGCTGTCCGTAGTGCTGAAAAGCCACAGTAGTGAAAGCAAAAATATTCAATCGTTATCGACTCGCAGGTGGCAGTGACAGAGAGAGTCTTGAATATAACTGATGACTGATTTGATTATTGTTATCGTCATAGCAAATAAACTCGACCATTTAGTCTATTTTCCACTGTCACATTTGTGAATATTTTTCTGGTCTTGGGTTGTGGTGTATCACCTGCAACATTCCATGGAAAGAAACATACTTTAGGGAACATTTCCCATGGTGCTGGGGCAGTTTTTTGCATGTGAAAATATATAGCTAAAAAAAAAACATAATAAGTTACAACTACAATAATATTTGGGCATGTTTTACTGGAGGAACCAACATCAAATAGGAAACAAAGTAAAACTCTGCAATTATTGAAGTTCTTGTGATTTGGCTCCCGGAAATTGTGGAATGGATGACCACTGTATTATCAGACTGGCAGACTCACTTCCTGAGATTCCTGTTTTTATCTCTTTAGACTATTTTCTTATCTTATGGCTTTTAAATCAGTTTGAGGTTTGATGATTTACTGTTTCTAGGTGTTATTGTATCAGTATGTGCTTGTTTAAAGTTATCCTTTATTTGTGTCCAGCATTTTAGCTCTTGGTTTGTTGTTTTTAAAGTGCTCTATAAAAAAGGTTGAGTTGAGAATTGTGCATTCATCAAAACATTGATGAATATCTTGGATTCCATTCTCGTAAAGATGCTGAAATACGTGTACATGCATTTGTCACATGAGTAAATTAGATTATTGTAATAAACCAGGGCTTACTCTGTAATCAATCCAGCAGATCCATCTCTGAGTCGGACGAAAAAAACATTTCAGAGTAAAGACAACATTGGCTGCCATTTAAGGCCTGGATTGACTTCTTCACAGTAGTCTGTCTCTCGTTCCTTATGAACCTGTGCACTGTCTGATATTCTCGGACCTTGACCACCTGAATGTAAAACTGAAATGTAGAAGAAGCTGCTTCCTCCCATGATGGTCATTGTAAGTGAAACGCTCTGAATGACATCCCACACTGACTGTCTTTTTGTTAAATGTCCGTCCTTCCAGTACAAAAGTAGGATTGGTGCATGGTTTGTAGAGTGTCAAACTCTACAAACTCTGGCCAGATTTTAGAAAAAATAAAAAAGCTCCCTGTTGTCAAAATATAAAACTGTTTGCATCTGTAGATACTTTTAAATGCATTTTTTTTATTTTTACATTATTACGGTAATGTAAAAATGGTAAAAATTGTAAAGATACTTGAACTCCTCAAGTAGTAGTGAGGGAAGGATGGAGCGTGAGATTGACAGGCGGATCGGTGCAGCGTGCGCAGTGATGCGGTCGCTGTATCGGACCGTTGTGGTAAAGAGGGAGCTGAGCCGAAAGGCAAAGCTCTCGATTTACCGGTCAATCTTCGTTCCCTCCCTCACCTATGGTCATGAGCTTTGGGTAATGACCGAAAGAACGAGATCGCGGATACAAGCGGTCGAAATGAGCTTCCTCCGCAGAGTGGCTGGGCGCTCCCTTAGAGATAGGGTGAGGAGCTCAGTCACACGGGAGGAGCTTGGAGTAGAGCCGCTGCTTCTCCACGTCGAGAGGAACCAGTTGAGGTGGCTCGGGCATCTGTTCCGGATGCCTCCTGGACGCCTCCCTGGGGAGGTGTTCCGGGCACGTCCTACCCGGAGGAGGCCCCGCGGAAGACCTAGGACACGCTGGAGGGACTATGTCTCTCAGCTGGCCTGGGAACGCCTTGGGGTCCCCCCGGACGAGCTGGAGGAAGTGTGTAAGGATAGGGAAGTCTGGGCGTCTCTGCTTAGACTGCTGCCCCCGCGACCCGGCAACGGATGAAGCGGAAGAAAACGGACGGACGGACATTATTACGGATTTAGCAGTGTTTGAGATGATTTTGCTATCCCAATGTGTTTCAGTTACTGTTTGTTTGGACTGAACCAAAACTTACAAATGGATTGGCAAATGTTTTATATTTTTGAATTTATGATTATGTGTTGTGTTCCAATTATGATAAAGTTATTTTCTTGAGAATTATCCTTAAAATGAGGTATAGCGCACGATGGTAACTCATTTAAACCTGAACATCAATTCTGCCAGATTATAGCTATAATGATTTCAGGGGCCACTGAAAGAAATCAAATGTCAGTAGTAAAAATGGTAGAACCAGCTTGCGATTTTGTTGCTCTAATCCAGAAAAAACCTCATGATTGCCTTGTATTTTGATTAAGGGAAAGTTTCTAAAATAAGAATCGGCACTTCAATAAAGAGCAGTAGATCTTTGGCTCATTCAATGGAAAAGACAAGTAATTAATAGTCATTTTCTAAACTAAATACTATATTTACACACAATTTACCGATGGAACGACGTTAAGTCAACATTTTCAAATAAAGATAGAAACTCTTGCTGCATGCTAGATTTAGTTTTTTCTATTACCTGTGGCTCCAAACCCAAGGTGAACATTTGTGAGTTGTATTTGGTATTTCCTGAATGAAATGTGAATGCTGACTTGTATTTCTTCTTTGCTAAAACATCGCAAATCATGAGCATTTCGTTAATATGGAGATTGAATAGTGGAAATTCACAAATGTCCTGTTTAAATTCCTGGAGTAATGCTTTTAGTTTGTTTTTCTTAAAGCTGGCGTGTTGTCGTATTTTTAGTCCCATCAGAAAGAGTCTTGTAATGGTAAAATGTGAACAAATCAGACCCAAAATGCCACATTCACCTTATTTGCATTTGAAAACGAGTGATGGAACCAAACTGTTTTGAGAGCGAGGAATATTTGTTGTTTTCATACTACCCTAACTTCAATCGTACTTCAGATATCAAAGTTATTTTAAATAGATTTTTCCCAGTAAGTAAATATTACTCATTTATTTTTAGTTTATTTAAAGCTTGGCTATGTCACTCAGGGTTTTCTTTGAATTGAACTGTCTCTGTTCAAGTAAGCCTCACTTTTGACATTTTGTACGTAGACTCTTGAATGGCATGTGTGTTAATGTAAGGGTGGCCCGGTGGCTGAGTGGGTAGCACCTTCACCTCTCAACTACAAGGTTCTAAATACAAATCCCAGTCGGAGCATAAGTTGAAATTTAAACTTTATCGCAATCACTTGAGTTTACTTGGTAATATCAAGTAAAGGATGTACTCGAGGAATTCAAGTGAAATGAATGTGCAATTTATTTCCAAGGTTTTTTCAAGTAAACTTTACTTGTCAGGGTTTACAGTGATGGTTGAAAGTTGGGTACCTCCGCTTTAATGTTTGTTCCATCAAGGGCTAAAGAGTGAGCAAGTGTGAGGGAAAAACATGACATATCGACACTACAATTCAAATAGATGAATTTAGAGTGGTTAGAACCAACACATCTGTATTCACATTTAATATTGAATAACATCTTTACAAAAATAGCTGAATTTTGGTTTAAAAAAATGTCAATCCAATCGTTAAACCCACACAAAAAAAAAGAAAAACTGCTTGAGGGCCAAGAAAATATGCTTTCTGGGGTGGGCAACAGTCTTCCCAGGGGCCATAGTTTGGTTTTGTCCTCGTTTTATCCTGGTGTGGTCCTGGTTTTGTCCTGGTTTTGTTCTGGTTTTGTCCTGGTTTTGTCCTGGTTTTTGTCCTGGTTTTTTTTCCTGGTGTTGTCCTGGTTTCACACTGTGGTCCACACTTCCATTGCTCTCTTGTTGCTGGATCACATATAGCTGTGCCCCTCAGACCGGACTATAGCAGCCTGTTATGTAATCTTTAAGCCCCCTCAGCACTGGACTGAGGTCTGACTTGATTAAAACCAGACTCTGAATCAGCCCCTGAGCCACGGAGGAGCGGCTGACGGCTTTGCACTTTATGCACTTTACTCACACAGGGTTTTGCTCATTGTACATTAATTTAACTGGTCAATAAACATGTCAGAGAAACAGTACAAATGATGATTGTATGAAGCTGTTGTCTGTTTGTATCTTTGCCTGATGCTTAGATCAGCGATGGGCCTATAATACAAAGTAAGTATGTAAGGTTTATTTTTATAGCGCATTTTTACAGACAAAAGTCACCCAAAGCGCTTTACAATTGTTCAGAGTTCATATATTATTCCATTCTCTCCGCACACGGTGATGAGGGAAGCAAAGGTCCTGGGTAAGACTCTTGGAATGGGTGGATCCTAAAGTGTGGAGTTTGCATGTTATCCCTGTGTCTGCATAGATTTCCACTTAGGTCTAAATACAACAAGACTGACTGTTCTGCAGTTTGCACCCACATGTATATTGCTTTATATATCCGGGTTTGTGAAATGCGCTATATAAACAAAGATTACTTACTTTATGTTCAGCCTGGGCCAAGCAGTAAATAGCCTTTATCGCATCAAATCAATGCTCCAACAGGATACCGGTTGTGTGCAACGGTGGCGCAGTGGTTAGCACTTGTGCTTCACAGCTCCAGGCCTTTCTGAGTTGCATGTTCTCCCTGTGTCTGCATATATTTTCTCCGGGTGCTCCAGTTTCCCCGACCACTAAAAACATGTACAATAGTTCTGGCATGCGCCTCGTGTAATGGCCGACCCCGCTTCTATTTGTGTGTGGAATGAGAGACTTGTAAAGCGCTTTGTGACTCTGGTCTGTAAAAGGCGCTATATAAATAAAAATACTTACTTACTTACTCTAATGTTAGGTAAAGATTTTTATTATTATTATTATTGGGTAAATGATAAAGGCCATAAGACAGAATTGAATTATGTGTCAATATTTCGGGCAGGTGCCAATACTTAAAAAAAGAATGATTCAAAAAAGTTAATTTTGTTTGTGATGAAAGAAATGGAGAAGGAGGCACTTTTCAAACTGTGTTTGTTGAAATTATGAACCAAGGCGTTTCAACAAAAGTCTTCATCAGGGCAGTGAGTGTCGCAGCTGACACTGTACTGATTTTACGGCGTTTAAAGTTCATTTTGTATTTGGTTCTTTTGAAGGATAAGTTAGATGTATTGCCTTGTTCACATGTAGAGCTGCGAGTCATCTTCAGTTACTTGCCTTAGTGACATGTCAGCTGATGTTACTTCCTGATTTGGCATGGCCAGCCTGGTTGAAAAATAGTTCTGTTGAAAAATAAATGGTCCACATTTTTTCCCAGATCATAATTTGATAGTGATTAAATTAAAAATCCTGCCATATTCTCATGTCTGAAAGTGTCCTTTACTGGTCAACATCATGCATTTGTTTTTGAGTCTGGTCACCACTTCTAAACACCTTTTTATGAGAAATGTTTTACACCATAGTTGATATGTGCTGACAAAAAACATGTGGAACTTTGTGGCTGTTTTGCTTCATGTGGATTTGCCCAGGGATTAGACAAAATAGCTCTAAACCAAGTCTAGGAATCTGACTTTTGACACTTACCATAGTTACCAGGGAAGATAGTTCAGCTGCCCTCCACCACAACGTTAATCTATAGGCACTTTGGAATGCTGTGATGTCACATGAACACAACCTATTAAATTGATCAATTGCATGATTAAGTTCATGAAATTGTATTTTGTATTTCATCACACAAACTCAAAGGTCCTTGTCTCCTGCGAGTCCCATGTTGAAGTGTATGGCCAAATTGTACTCTATGTTATCACAGCTTTTGGGAATCAGAATCATTTTTTGATACTATTCATAAATCTATAAAAGAACTATGATAATGTGTAGTGATTTGACTGAACTGAAATAAATGTTCTGACCTATAGTGGCAGGTTTTTCTCAGCCTGGCCGCTCTCAGGAAAATGAGACTGTAATCAAGACACGCTTCAAGATAGAGTTAGAAATGAAGGAGGGTCATTGGTAGATCCGACTGGAAGGACACAAGAATTTTCTATATGTGCCGACTGTTTTTATTCAATTCAATTAAATTGTTGATTGATTCTGTTTGTATTGCCATAATCCGCAACATTCTTTTGACCTTAAATGCATATATCAGGTACATGTGTTATATTTGAAGGTATGTGATGTTGTGTATGAAGTTGTTGAAGTATACTCTTGCAGTGTTGTCAGATGGCAGTGAAATTTTCCAGCCAAAAAAACAGTGAGAATGCCCCAAAAAACTGCCACATTTTCTTTGGCTTGTTTCTTGCTTAAACACATGGACATTATGACTCTGTAAAATGACCCGTTTTCTGACTGCCCAATTTAAGAAACAATACTCGAATCAAATGAATGCAAAAGTAACTACACTGACCTGTGATGAAAAGAAGTGCGATCTACCTTGTTTCAAGATTCCGTTTATCGTCCTTTCCTCTATTTATACAACTCTACTCCACTACCCTCCGTGGGAACTGCTTTTGAGTTTATTTTTGGTTTCATAATTTACTTATTTGTCTTTCTATTGTCAATTAAAGCTAAGTGTATTCATTTCCCGCATGTCATACACAGTGGTCATTCAGTGTGCTTTGTTGCATTTGAGAATGCTCCTTCTACAGGTGGAGAAGGTGCCACCCGATGAATTGGAGGGTGCAGCGCATGACCGGGAGTGGGTGTGTCTGTTGTGAGTTTAGGGGAAATGGCCATTCTATGTATATATATCTATATCTATGGGCCAGTCAGCCAGAGCTGTGGGTGTGTCTGTGGGTGTGTATCTGAGTGTGCGAGTCTGCTCTGCTGGAGGAAGAGTGATCTAAACATGGCTACAAAAACCTGCTGAACCCTGGCAACCTTGCAGACACAGCGCAAGAAAAGCTCGCAAAATTGCACGCAAAAGAATCCTCGAAACAGAGAGGTTGCACGAGGTGAACCGCGTTACAGTGAGCGACCACTGTATTATTTATTTACATCTCTATTATTGTCCTTTGTTTATGAGATAGTCAAAAATAATAGTATTGTTAGAGCTGGATTTCTTGTTTAAATCTTAGGAATGCTCGGCAAACCGCACATGGTAGAGATACAATGCTAGCGCCAAACGTGGGCTCATAAGACGTGCTTGATTAAACAAAAGAGTTATTGCCAGAGAGTAGGCACAGCAAACATTCGCACTATCCAAACAGCCTCGTCTGAATAAACACGCCACTGTTTCTGCCAGGCCTTTCACACAAGTGTTGCCAAATTATTCACACAGAGGCCCAACAAAAAAAGTGCTGCAGAGAGTGAGAGAATTGTTTGTGTAATGGTACAGACATAATGCATACATGCTAGTGCAATTGATCATCTAATGAGACTTTCTTTGTTGCTCCAGTGATCAGAAGAAATGTTGTAATTGGAAAAAATGCAGTTGTTAATCTGTGGTTCTCATGAGATTCCAGATTTTCTGCTATGTACCATGGTTTTTTATAATCATGTTGTTCAGAGAGGTGTTTTGTGTCGATATTTACAAATCTAATCTAGTTTGGATTAGCAATATACCAATTGTCTTCCCATCCGGCCGATATACCATACCATGGGATGTTAAACCTCTTTTAAAATAATTTTTTTTTAGACAAGATACAAGAATTTGGCTGAACCATGATCATACCTGACCTCAGAATTCACACATTCTTATGTGTCCTCTCTTTCTCTTGAAGAAAGCCTGATCTGGATGCAGAGCCTGAGGAGAGCCCAGGCAGCAGCAGTAGTACCGGCAGCAGCAGCACCGGGGCGGTAAATGCCCTGTCCACCGCCCCCGCCCCCCCTCAGCCCTCTGCGGGACAGCCGGCTCCGAGCTCCTGCTCCGGATCGGACAGTCCTGTAGACTCCAGTGAGGAGGTACACTTCAGAATATCAACTATAATAGTACAATAAACAGGACAATCTTTGATGGACCATGGTTCATTTTTCTCGAGATTACCAATATAATCTCTCAAATTTAGCAACAAAGGGATCCTTGTGTATGATGAATTGGTAATAAGTGTTGTTTTTATATATTTCAAAGTTCAAATAGTTCCAAGTTCAGAGTAAAATAACTTCCCAGATACCACAAGTCATAGCTATAAAACAAATGTGCTTTGCCCTTTGGTTCTTTGGCCATAGAAAAAAATACATGATAAGCGGTACAGCGACTATTCCTCACTAATGAAAATATTTTCACATTGTGTTTGTGTTCCATGTTCAAGCCTTTGAGTCTTATTCATTATTTTCAAAGTATGGTGATGGTAATTCTTTTCGGGAATGTTAATCCTACATTATCATCCTTTTCCTAGGAGGACGAGGACTCTGAGGAGGAAGACTCTGGAGAGGACTCAGAAGAAGACCCCGCCATGTTTTCCTCCAAGTTTCTGAGTGGGGCCAATCCACTCAGCGCCATGTCCTCCGCGGTCAATAAGATCGGCCTGTTCGGAGACGACGGAGAAGGCGATAAGACCCAAAAACCGCCCCAGGCATCCGGTCAGGGGAAGGGACCCCCAACACAGCAGCAACAAAGATCGCAAAATCCGGGACAGCCCCAAAATGGACGGTCCAATGGAGGTCCGCAGGCTGTTAAGGGTCCCCAAGGCGCCGCGAAACCTGGAAATCAGCCGTCACAACAAGTTAAAGGCGGAACTGTTGAACAAAGTTTGAAAAGCGGTCAACGGGAGTCTCCAGAGCAAGGGCTGGCTAAGCAAAAAGAAGCAGCAAAGAGTGACATTGGGGCCAGGCCTGGAGTGCAGCAAGGGCAAACCAAAGCAGCGGGACAGCCCAAACCTGGCCAGCAGGGTGCTCTCAATGCCGTTGGTCAAACACAAGGGTCAGCTAAGCCCAGTCCACAGCAAGGGTCGCCAAATGTTGGGAGGCAACAGCAAGGCACGACCAAGATACTTCAACAAGGACCACCCAAACCTGGTCAGCAAGGTGGGAGTCCAGTGCAAGGATCGCCAAATGCTGGAAGGCAACAGCAAGGGGTGGCTAAACCTGGTCAGCAAGGATCACCCAAACCAGGCCAGCCACCCAAGTCTGGAGTTCCCCCCAAGTCGTCTGGGGTCAAGTCTCGGATTTGCTCAGTTTGCAACACCACAGAGCTGAACATGCACACGAAAGACCCGCCCAACTTTAAAACGTGTACACAGTGTAAGACGGAGGTGTGCAGCCTGTGTGGATTCAGCCCGCCAGACTCTAATGTGAGTATTCCTCAAAAATGTTTTTATAATTGTATTAAATGTATGTCAGTGGTGGGCTAAATACAAAATATTCCAATCACTCAATTTCAACTTTTCTTAAAGTTGCATTTCTATCTCCAATAGAAATCAATATGTAATAACAAAAAACATCTATATTTTAAAAAACAAAAAAGTAGTCCCACTATCTAAATTACCTTTATATTTTGAGTCTTAGTACGATTAGTATTTTTTTCCGCATTTACACAGATATATTGAAATACGTGTGGACCAAGGTCTTCTACTCATTCATTTTCTGGATACATTTTCCATTTGTCGCTTGTAGATAAAATTATACCGTATATCGTGGCTATTAGGGTACATACAGTATCCATATTGTTAAGATGACTAGAATTAGTTGACACAGTATTGTTTTTTGGTATGGTAGTCTCTGCTGAAGCCAGAAGCATAAAATCCCATGGTTCTAAAGCATTTTCTTCCATAAAAAAAAAAGTTGAATCCATGTTCTTGTATTCAGCAAGTGTTCAAAGAGGTTGAATTCACTGACATATTTTGTCTTAGTGATCATAAACATATGATCTAATAATTTTCACTTTAGTTCATAAGCCACCCTTTAATCTGTGTGAATCATCATGAGGGAAGTAGCACAACTGCAGATGCTCTGAAGGCTCACGTGTAACGAAATGGGGCTACGGCCCATTGACTTTTTGGCGGACATTTTGTAGCCCCAGACCCCGGTTTTAACCTCTAGTTAAAATAACCAAAGGAGTCTCATGGCAAATGGTGCTTAAAGCGATGGCACATGTTTCAAATTCTCTCTCTTTGTCGAGTTTGCTTGGCTTGTCTAATAATGCCTACAGGCCTAAACACATACATTTGTTTTCTTCCTTAATGGGGGGCGAGCAGAAAATAATTGAGCAGAACTGGGGCTGTTCATTAATTAAGGTATTTTTTGATAGTTTTTTTTAATAACAACATGACTACAAGATTAAACCAAAAACTGGACCTGAGATAAGGTATTGGTTCTGTATTGAAAATAATATTTATTATTTGTATGGTTCAATATGTCCAAAAACATTATGTCAGTATAAGAGAAGAAAATATGATAATGATATGATTCACGATATAAACAACTCAAGAGAAAAACTTCAAAATTGCACATTTTTATTGAAAAAATATATAATCATTACAAATCTTCCTTATTGCGCTCAAAATCGTTTGATCACAAGTTTTCTCAAGAATGCATTTTTACAGTCAAGTCTTTAAATCAGCTTTTCATACCGAAAAGTGAAAAGGTGAGAACCATCCTCTCTCAGCCAATCAGCTCTCAAGTAAAATATGAATACGGCATGTTGTGGTTTGATTTGATCACAAATATTATTTTTATAAGAATCTTTTTTTGTTGGGACAAACAAATGTTTTCATGAAAGCAAAATAAAAATGTAGGTACTCCAGCTTTAATGCATCTGGCCACAGCGGCTGTAATCATCATTCTGAGCAGGCAGGTCAGCGGACTTCATGGGGCGCGTGCACTGATCCACGAACGACAGGGATTGCGCGCTCCGGTCGACGGTCTATTGACCTGTGATTGTATCTCAATTATTAAAGTACGTGATCAGGGGTTTTACAGCCTTAAAAGGACATAGTAAAACTATTTAGTTTAAATGATGGAAGGATTATTTGTTATTAACCACATCTGTTTGTTGCATTACTTGAAAAAGCAGAGGTAGCGTTTTTTTCAGGAGGGAATTTGCCCTATCGAGATTCTGCTGCTCTTTTGACTGACACTCAGGCTGACACTCAGTAATAAGCCGGTGGCCCCGGTGTGACAGGCAGATGTAGGAGATGTAATAATGGAGCTGTTGGCACAACGTCAGCGCTAAGGTCATGCCGACATGAGCCGGTACACTGCGCTGAATATTTTGTTGAAAGAAGAGAATTGTGCTCTCCCTAATAATTGAATGAGGTGCATTGAGTGAATGCAACAAACTGACAGTAGTGGCCTGGATTTTGTGCACCAGCCATCAGAGACATGTGTATATTAGATAGAGCAGAATACCCATAGCTTTAGTTGTAGACGCATGATCTGGGGTTCTAATGCACACGTTCAGTTTTTATAGAAATAAATGCCCTTCAAACACGATGGCACCGTGGTTAGCCCTTGTGTGTTTGTGAGTGCAAGTGTGGGACAACAACGCGGATGCAAATTATCCCAAGGCTACAATCCAGAGCACTGACTTCATTAACATGCACTGTCCCAACAAAATAAGCAATAACATAAAACATTATAAATACTTGTTTTACTAACCATTATGTACAAAGAATCTTTTTTTTTTTTAATCTCATTTTAAGTGTATATTGTGTTTATATATTCTTTCTTTTCACATTAACATTGAACACACAATTTGCCTACTTTTTAACATTTTCAAGTTTGGAAAATGGTTGGAAAATGCTTAAAAGTAGAAGAAAAATACCATATATTACGGTCTAAAGGGTCTATGACCCAGGGCTGGTCAAGTTATGAAAAATCATAGAACTTAAAGATCCAAAAGTGGTGCTGAATCGGAAAGGCAGGATTTCACAAAGATTTTCATGTCAAGTCATCATTATATGGCCCTAATATGTCAAAAAATAAACCATGCTTTTTTCAAATACTTCTTGAGCTGACAGCAGTTGTTCAGCCGAGATATTTTGATTTCAAAATTAGTGTTACAGTTTGCCAGAACTCACCGCGTCGAGCTAATCTCACTGGTAAAGTAACATGTGACCGCAGTACTAAAAAAGTATGATTATGATTCTCGAATCATTAATGACAAAACAAGGACTAAACAAGGATTTATATCGGGGATGCCTTTCAGCTATTATGGTCCCAGCTGGATTCGTCTTCATATATGGCAACCTGAGTAAGGGAGAGTGGTAAAGGTTGCAGTACCACTCCTTTTACATATTGCTCCTTTAAGCAAAACATTTAAGAAAAAGTAATCAGAGTTGTCTTTTCATTTTTCTCCAGGGGAAGGAGTGGCTGTGTCTCACCTGCCAGATACACAGAGCTCAAGACCCGGCACCATCGGGACAACAGATGACGAAACCACCTCCTTCTTCTAATCAGAAATCTCCTACGCCCATGAAAAAAGACATTGCCCAATCTAAACCCCAACCTGCGGCCGGACCTACGAAGACCGACCCAACAAAAGGCCCTAAAACCACCTCAGAGAAACCGGACGCAAACCAACAGTCCGGAGGGTTGTTTGGATTTGGAGCTTCCAAAACCGATGCGGCAAAATCCAACGAATCGGTGACAGGGAAAATGTTCGGTTTTGGTTCTTCCTTCTTGAGTTCTGCCTCAACTTTAATATCTTCGGATGAGACCAAAACAACTCCTCCGATTTCGCCCAAAGTACAACCGGCAAGCCAGGCTAAAAAAGTGGAACATGAGAGAAAACAAGGGCAGGCCAAAGTTGAAAATGTGGATAAAGCGTCTGCGATTTTGCTAAAGGATGTACCGTTGGCGTGTCCTCTTTGTCATACTGGACTGAACAGCTCGTCGGGGAAACCAAACTACAATGCGTGCATGGATTGTAAGGGCATTGTGTGCAACCAGTGCGGATTTGACCCCACGCCAAACGTCAAAGAGGTGAGTCGAGCTGCACAACAATGAAAACTATTCTTAATACGTTTTTGCAAAGGTAATTGCTTAGGGAATGTAAACATCATAATTTATGTTGTTATCACAGCCCTTGGTACTTCTAAGATTAGATCTTACTATTTCACTAATGTTTTCCTTTTCTAACATGAGAGAATGTGGCCTAGCATATGGCAAGGCAAGACCTGAGTTACGCTTGGTTGGTAAAAATAATGCTGGGGGTACCAACATTTCAAACCACAGAACTATAATTAGGGCTGGGCGATATGGCTGAAAACGATATCACAATACAAGTAATTCATATCGGTCGATAACGATATATATTGATTTTTTTTTTTTTTTACCTGAATAAATACATTTGTTGTGTCGGCTAACACACGTTAGCAGCCTTGGTTACAGTTACGGGGGAATGAGGCTAGAGGAATATGTTCACAAGCAGTCTCCCCCAAAACAATCTTAGATCCATGGACTCTACGCATGTTGCAGTTGTTTTTGCTGGTTCAGGCTCGGCTGTGATAGGTTGAGAAGCCTATGCCTACATCCCCCAGAATGCCGCGCGCCTGTGACTCGGCTTTACTTCCTGTGTTTTCTTCCTGTTTTTTCTAACGGAGTGAAGTTAAACTATCTAACATTCTATAGACCCCGTTTTCTATTGATATTTAACACGTGTCTATCTATTTATCTATTTATTTATCTTTTCAGGAGACATGGGACTACGGATGAAAAATAGCCGTTTGGCTAATTCTGGCATATTTACAGAAATGTTCATTAATATGCACTGTCCCAGTAATAAATAAATAAATAAATAAATTTAGTTCTTTTGCTCTCAAAGCAGTTTGGTTCTACCTAGAGATCCTCCAGGTTTGACTGGCAAATGGCAGATTTTTAAACATTTTGTGAATTCTGCAAGTAAAATAAATGAGGAGCTAATGTACTATTTAGCAATTTTGAAACTTTTCAAAGTTATTTTATTATGCATATTTTTTGAAGGAGAGGAAGTTTTGTATAGCGCTTTTGTACAGCAATTTCCAATCGCTTTTCAGATTCAGATTCAGATTCAGATTCATTTATTTGCCATTTGCAGTAAAACCACATAGGAAAAACTGTGCAAGACTACCCCGGTGTGCACCAAGGGAAGATTACCCACTTACTTACAGAGCTATAATTTAAATTAGTGGGTTGTTTGTGTTTATGGAGGCATTTTGTTACTTTTTCAAGTTTTGGGGTTGACTTTAGAATTAGGTATAACATGTCATGATAGCATATCGGTCAGTTAGGAAGAAGTTGGGGCCGATTGCAGATCCCTGTCACATCTTTAGACCAGCTTTTTAGACAGAAAAGTGAAATAAAGGGTTGTGAAGCAATGGTTTCCGAGGCACTCTGAAGTTAAATGTAAAAGTCTTTTATTCTCAGTTGCCAATGCGTTTCATCATTGCATAATCTCTGTGAATAAAGGACTTTTACATTAAACTTCAGCTTCCATCCACATCCTTCGTTCTTTTCAACCGTTGATACAAACTACTTTGGGACTAGATATCTCAAATCTATAATTGTTTTTCCAAGAGTGGGATTTATGAACATGCTTAAGATTTACATATTCTTCCTTATCACCAACCAACAAATAACTTCTCTCATTTATCTCTTTGTGTCAAACGTACTTGCTTAATACTTTTGATTCACTCAGCCAGTCATATATTTACTATCCATTCTCTTGTTATCTTTGAAAAGTAAAAAAGGCAAGGTTATCCCAAAGTTATTTACAATGAGACAAAATCGATAAGCATCTGTTTAGAAAGCATTTTATCATCGGGGAGAAAAGAATTCCCCCATATTTGAAACAAAGAGCTGCTTTCTCTGAACAAATGGCCTTGTGAAGTGGCCATTATTTTGGGCTCCACGGTCCATCATGTGAGGCAGCAGCTGGCTCAGCATTGTGGCCTGGGTGTGTGGAAGAAGGTTTCTGTTACACAACACGAGAGGTGCCCAAACGAGAGCTATAAACTTGCTGCTCGTTCTGGAGAATCGATGCCTGAGCGAGTCCATATATTTGGCTGCTTTAGATTCAGTGACTGTCGTGAGATACTTCGTAGGTTTGATTCCATTTCTGTGTGGAGTGTCTGTGTAGGTGCTCCAGTTTCCCCTATACTAAAAACATGTACCCCATAAAATCCCCCCATAAAATCCACCTCGACCCCACTTTCTGGGATTCTGCAATCTCAGTGGGACTTTCCTGGTTAATTAAAAGTCGATAGATAAATAAATAAGGGGTATATTGTAGGCAGGTCATTATCGGAAAATAAGTACCGACAGGGCGAAGCGGACCCCGGTGCTACGGCTTTGTACCAACAGAACACACAAAATAAACTTCAGTCCACTTTTACAAATGCCGAAAGGTTTATTAAATGACTGCAAATAAAATAGTTCCCAAAGGCTTTCCCGTGGCTATGCGAGTAACAGCTAGGCTAGTAACTGCCAAACTAGAACTCTCTCGAACTTCATGAAAACTGAACAAAGAATTGTGAACATTCTAAGTTTGTTATAAACTTAACCTAAATCCATAATTCCATCCTCTGCAAATGTTCCTAAAATGTCCCGGAACGTACTTCTGGGTTAGTCGCAATCGCTTTATCTCGCATTTAAAGTATTTTTGTCAAGAAAACGTTAACAGATCATTCTGAAAACCTCTGTGCTCGTGTATTCAGAATGTATAATGTATTCTCAGATTATCATTTAAATGTGTTGATTGACTGGTATTTGCGTTTATTGAGCGTGGCTAGCTCCGATAGCGACAGTAGTAGTGACGAAGTGGCCAGAGTACTTGCGGAGTAATCTACACATCTTAATTACAAGCAGAGGTTGCGTTACCATGGGCAGCGGTCATTATTGTTTTGAGAGGTCAGTTATTAAGAAAAAACGACCGGTAGAACGTTTTGTAATTACATTCAAATCAATGGAGCGTTCTACTGCTGTCTACTGCTGCTGTGAGGAGCTGTGTAATAAATTGAAGTAATATAGAGGGGCACTATTCAGTTTTCTAGTGTGGAAAAAAAGTTTATATTTTTGCAAATTGGTTTGGTTAGCTCCACAGCAGGTGGTGACAGCATGGTGCCTTCTTCTTCGATCACTGTTGTACCAACGCTCCAAGATCAATTGTTTTGTAGCTTTACTAAGAGAGGGTCCATCAGCAGAAACAACCCTCCAAACATTGATTCGATCGTATCCTAGAGACGACTGTGATGGTCAGCAAAGGCACCATGCTGACCACTCATACAGCAACAGGGTCACTACAAGGTCAAAAGATAATTTTAGATCCATCCACGCGAATATCAGGAACATGCATACATACATACTCCAGTGGGATCAATCAACAATATCAAACAATTGTTAATCCTTTCAGCCTTGTAAAGCAGCTAAAAGATGAACTCAGCCAAAGCCTAAAATAGAGGTTGTGGTTGGTAAAGATAGTGCAGAGCAGGGCAAACATACCGCTCTCAGCGCAAAGGCCTGATACTTGACTCTGTAATCCAATGCACACTGTTAAGTTAGCAACTGAGCAGGGGAGGGACGAGCCAGGGCAACCCAATCTCCCACTGCTGTGTCCTGGGCAACATCATGCTTACTTTCACAGTAGGGTATTTTCAGCTGGACAAATGTGGCTGTTTTAATGTAACCTTTATTCAAGCATTAAGTCCCCTGAGATCAAATCTCTCTTTGAAGGGACACCTGGTCAAGCGGCGCCTCGGCAACCATTTACAATGAAATCTACAGTGTTTGAGGCTTGTGTAGTGTTTCCCTTTTGTTTGTTGTATCAATTTATCATTATTGCATCATGATAACAATTCTTGTTGAATAATATATCAAAATATAATACTTTTTGATTTTTATGCTTAAAAGTAATATCAGTCATGCATTATAATTAAATTAAGTACATCACATATTTGTTATTGTTGTTGGTCTGGAGAATAAAAGTAGATCAATTGATTCTGTATTTCAGAATACATTTTATAAACCATAGAATAAAATCAGGAGCTGCAAAAACCAACTCATCAGTGATTTTTTTGCTTTGGCTGCTTTTGTTATGTACAAATGTCAGTGAGCATTTATCTACCTTGTATCACAATGTGCTAACTTGAGTCAAACTTCTGCCTTGATGGAATAGTGTCTGCTTCTCTCTGCTGTGTTTACAAAAGCAGCACTCAGTCTATGGTGACGTGTACACCTGGAGGGGGTCTCAGTCAACCAGTCCAGACTGTCTGGGCACATTCACAGTTACTCCCAAGAGAACCAGAGTTCACTTTAAGTGGACCAACTCTGGTTGAACCTTGATCCAAATGGCCTAATTTGTGGAGATTTGAAACAACCAAACAAGTGCACACTGGTCCTGCAGTCATCATCCAATCCAAGTCTTGTGTGCCGTTAAGTGAAATGTTAAATGGTCCAGTTAATTGCAGACTGTAGAAACATTTTGTTTTAGTTCTGCTTTAATTGAATGACTATACACTGGGGGACACAGTTCTCAATGAAAACGATAGGACTAAACATAACCTTGGTTCTTGGAAGGTGACTTCACTGTTATGTAATATATGTCTTTACGCTAATGAAAATAGTTGTTTAAGACTTTTTACACACTCGATTATAGGAACCTCAATATGTAAATTAGTATTATTATAAATAGTAGTGTTATGCAAAAGCAAGTTTCTGTTTCTCTTTCTGTTTACATTCTGCTTTTGTAGCGCTAACAGATAGAGCATGTAATATGTTGTTTCTATCAGATCAATGTGAACAAGTGTGAGACGTGTATTTCTCCAAAGTACAGCAGCTCAGTGGGACACGTGTGTGTGAGGGCGCTCTGGAGAAACGAGCGTGAGAGCTGAGAAATGAAAGAATGAAAAGTGTGGCGTACGAGCAGAGCGACCGGAGGCAGGCAGGATATAAATGTGTGTTGGTGTGTTCTGGCTAGGGATATAAATCGGTGACCGTTTAATCGGTGGTTGACGGTCACAGGGTTAACCGGTCAAAACTGTCGGTTAAAAAACGAAAAGGGGGAGATGGGAGGTCTCTTAATAACGCTATTTTAAGCCCTATTTGCACGGGGTGACGAGCGGGTCTGTCTCTAGCTGTGTGCGCCAATGTATCATTAAACTCCGGGCTGACTTTCATGCCGCATGCGCCACATATGCACGCACACATGCACACGCACACATGCACTCGCACACGCGCACACCCACACACACTTTCCCCCCCTCCATTGATACGTAACATCCACCCGCATCATCTCTCCCCTCTGACTTGTCTACCAAAGTTGCACACTGGTGCGGGTCAGAACTACATTGGAGTTTATATTTACACACACAGACATTCATGTACACACAAACATGTACAGACATACAAGTACACACATACCGGTCTGTCGCGCTCCTCTGTGTCACGGAGCCCATAGAATATTTGCAAATACACGGGTCCAGCCAAACCACATGAAACATGTTTGTGCTGCTGGTCCTTGGCATCAGCTCCACACACATCACTTGTATTTAAACTTTAGCGGAAACCTCAGAGACGCGTCACTCGCTGATCTGACCATGTGAACGAGCCGTTGTTTGCTTAAAAATGCTCGCAGCACAGAAGAATAAGAAGATTAAAACAGCAGTTCTCTGTGCGCAAAGGTACCGAAGCTGATGCGGGTTTTGGCGCCGCTGTCTCGGCTCTGATCCAGTAGAACGCATAGCTGCACTTATGAGAAGTACGCGGCTTGAAATGGCTGTTATTTCAAAGAACTTGGGATATTTTTAAAATACGCAGTTAACCGGTTAATAAGGCTCGGTGGTCGGTCATGACAATTCATAGTTCTTTACATCCCTAGTTCTGACCCCAGTTGGCATTATTAATAATATTTGTTGAATACATACAGTGAAAGTTCAACTTTTACAGTTTTGGTCATTTTACGAAAACACACATTAACATAAAGATTACATTTTGGATTTATTTTACAGAAAGACCTCAATAAAGTAACAACTGTGAAGTGAAAACAAAATGATAGTACATGAACTAATAACTGAAAAGTTGGTCTTGCACATGTATTCATACAATTTCTTAGATAAGATAAGAGAACGCTTTATTCGTCCCACACTGGGTAAATTTCTCTGTTGCAGCGCACATACAGGACAGTAATAATAAGAGCACACAGGGAGGACACAAAATATACAATATGAGTAGCTGCTGTTTCTCAGCTAGCTAATCTTACATATCAACTTGTATATTGTATATAGTAATTGTAATCGTAATAATTCTATTTTAAATGTTATACTTTAGCTGGTTTTTATTATGACTCACTCTATTCTTTACCTCTCTTTTCTGACTGTTGCACCGAGCCAAACCTATATCCTTGTCTGTGACTTCCTGTTACTTACATGGCAATAAAAATGATTCTGATTGTTATTCTGATATCTTGATCTATCTATATAGTGTAAAGTTATATAGGGCAAGATAAATAGTAGATACAGTGTCTTTCTGAGGAGCTTTTGAAATTGCAGTATTGCACATGATATCAGTGTTTACAATTTACAGATGAATGAGTCAACAGTTCTCATTGTACAGTTTGACAGCAACAAGACGGAAAGATCTGCAGAACCTTTATTAAACCTTGCATAAAACCCTTTGAACATGTGTAATGATTACTAAAGGCCCACATCTTTCCCTTACCTTTAAATAGAGCGAACCTGAGCTAAGTCTCCTATGAGCTATGTTTAGCGTGTACTGGTCTCATGGCGGCATCGTGAAGGTATGGGAGTACGCCAGAGCGGTAAGGAAGGAAGTAGGGGCAAAGAATAAAGCAGTGTTAAGTTATGCAAACTCTTCCCAGACGTACTGGGAACTTTAAATATCTCACAAAGCACCTTTCAATCCAGTATTCATGAAAAAGACTATAATGCCAAGACTGCTAAAAAGACATGGCTCCCCACAAAAAACGAACAAGCTCAGTAAGGAGAGCTCTGATCAGACATGTAACCTTGTGCCTCACGATGACTCTGGAGAAGTAGGTACATGGTCGAATATGACTTATACACTACACAACTTTGAGCTCTATGGACAAGTGTTGAAGTGTTAAATAATAAAGCCGCAATAGACAAAGTGGTGGAAGGTGCTGTGGTCAGAATGTAGCTTTTTGCCCCAAATGTAAAATGTATGGCTCAAACTACCACTGATTCCAGATATTGTTAGGAGTATCTACTGTCTTACTCTGTATTGTACGTTTCTACTTCATCAGATGGGGTAAATATGAGTTTAAATAAATAAAAAGGACAGGACTTAGATAGACCCTTGAATGGGAATTTAGGCTTAGAATTTAGGTCATAAACGGCTTCATAAAACTGTTGTGATAAACAGTAGTCTGTGCAACTGTTGCAAGTCCAGTGCCGCAGGATGATCTCACTGGAGAATCTTTACAACCTATCCATTTTATGAAAGAGAATGGAACGTTTTTGGACCCAATGCATAATGCACTATTCAGCACCCTCAGTGCACCATCCCCAGTGTCAAACATGGGGATGGCAGCATCATGTTTTGGGGCTACTTTTCATCAGCAGGGACAGGGATGAGTGTCAGATTCAATGTGAAGGAGGATGGAGTAAAATACAGTAGCATTTTGGAATACAGGGTGTGAAGTAAGACTGTGGTGGATGTTTACCTACCATCAGGGCTATTTCCTAATCAAAGACTTTTCATACAAAAGAATGGTATAAAACAAACCATATTTATGTGTTAGAGAGGCCCAGTCAAAGTCCAGACCTACATGCAATTTAAAACATGTGAAAAGTTGAAAAAGTGGAAAAAGTTGAAAAAGTTTTACTCATGCTGGGATTGCAATAGTTCACTTTTCCGTTTTTTTTCCACAAACCTTAGCTTCAGCCGACCCCTTTTCGGTGTTCCGAAAGTTACTGATAGAATCTGTATTCTAGTTACATAGGCAGTGTAACTAATAGCTATGTCCCATGGTTCCAAAACTGACCCGTTGATCTTGTCTTTCAGGGCAAAGTGTGGCTGTGTTTAAACTGCCAGGTGAAGCGGGCGGCTGGAGGAACCCAGCCCGAGGCCAAAAAGACCATGGCCACCCCTCCCACACAGCAAAAGACTTCCACTCCCGCTTCTCCACAGAGAAAACCCCCACTGGCCAAAGACACCAACAAAGAACCCGGTCAACCGCCTGGACCTACCCCAACCCCGAGCACTCAACCCAAGCAAGGCGACCAGAAGTCAGACTCTGTCAGCGGGAAGATGTTCGGCTTCGGTTCTTCCATTTTCAGCTCTGCCTCTACCCTGATAACCCAGGCGGTGCAAGATGAATCCAAAACCACGCCGCCAGTTTCGCCCAAAGTCTCGAAGGAGTCCAAAGCATCGCCGATTCCTGCCAAGAAACACGAGCCGGAGAGGAAAGCAGAGGAAGGAAAGGGTCAGCCAAAGGAGCAGCCCAAGCCTCAGTTGGGAAAACAGCTCTGTCCGCTGTGTAAGCTGCAGCTCAACGTGGGAGCTAAAGAGCCGCCCAACTATAGCACATGTACCCAGTGCAAAAGCATTGTGTGCAACCAGTGTGGATTCAACCCCAGGCCAAACGTCACAGAGGTAAGAGTCTTGTGCAAGAGGAACACACTGTAACTGTAACACACTGGAGATGTTGTCGTTTGCACTCCTTCTGGGTTAAAAACTGTGGAACGTGTGTGGATCCAGATACAGATGCAATCCACCTGCTGGGATTTAGCTATCTATAACTACTGTTTTGCATCTGCTTTTATTTAAATTCAATTCAATTTGTGCATTGTATTGCCTAAAAGTAGTAGTAGTTGCCATTGGGTTTTTAATGGTTCAGAAAAAGCCAAGTATGATTTGTAAATGTTGGCCTATATCCCTTTAAAGGAGCACAAATAAATATGTTCTCCAGATCATGCTTAAAGTTTGGGTACTTTATTTATTATGAATTCATAGAAAATATCATTCTTTTTTCCCAGATGAACAGGTCAAATGTCGTGAACAAATCCTCATTTAGTCCCACATTTTCTTTGACAAAAGGAAATCAGTGAATTAAGTGTCCTTGAAAGAAATACAATGTGCATCATGTCCATTGTTCACTCAAAAATGAGTGCCTCATGCTGCTCTTCAGTTTGTTAGAGACAAAACAATCTTTTTTGTTTATAATAATCACAGCCACAAACAAAAGCAGCACTGGACATTTGTTTTTATCAAAGCAAATGTAAAAATAAGTAGTCCCACAAAATAGACAGAGTTTGTACCTTTTTAAGCTAAACCTCTGTGTAATCAGTGCTTAGGTGGTTATGGAACAATAACCGTGTGGTTTGTAATTGTAATTACTTTAGTAGACCACTAATTATTATTTTTATTATTAGTAGTAGCAGAAGGTGTAGGAGTAGTAGTAGTAGTAGCAGTAGTAGTTTATCACCATTGTGTACGGAGTGAAAGAATAAAAACATGTGAAGTGTCTTTTGAGTGTCCTGAAAAGCGCCATATAAAACCAATGTATTATTATTATTATCATTATTGGGCACGGTGGCTGAGTGGATAGCACTCTCACTTCTCAGCAAGAAGTTCCTGGGTTCGAATCCCGGTCGTAACAGGGCCTTTCTGAGTGGAGTTTGCATGTTCTCCCCGTGTCTGCGTAGGTTTCCTTCGGGTACTCCGGTTTCCCCTACCTCTAAAAACATGTACAATAGGTCTGGCATGCGCCTCCTGTACTGGTGACCCCGCTCCAATCTCTGTGTGGAGTGAGAGACAAATGCCCATTATTGTAAACTGCTTTGTGACTCTGGTCTGTGAAAGGCGGTATGTAAATAAAGATCACTTACTTACTTACTACTTTTATCATTATTATTAGTATTATTATTATTATTTTTTATTATTCAGTAAAGTCTTAATCACAGTACATTCTAAACTCAAGCAGTGTGTTTTGGATCCTGATACTATCAATACAAAAGAAAAAGTGAAACCGGTTTGTACCGTGTCCTCTCATCGCCCACTCACTAAAAGTCTCTGTGAGTTTATTTTCTTCAGAGCTGCTCAAAGATTCCCCCTGAATCGCCTTCACAACTGAACTGCCAAATGTGATGACAACAGGAGAGATCTCCAGATTGTTCCTTCTCGTGGCACTTTCTCTACTTTTAAATGTCACACTTTGAATTTTCAAAAAAACAACATATTTCTATATGCTCCATCCCTTTGCACGGAAAAACACATGCAATGTCAATATCAATGTCAAGGTCAAGTTTATTTATATAGCACATTTAAAACAACAATTGCTGCCCAAAGCGCTGCACAGTAAAATACATCAAATACAAAAATAGTAAAAAACAGAACAAATATTACAACAGTGCAATACCTCTTAGTTGCCAAAGGCCAGAGTAAAAAGATGAGTACTATGAGTGCACACAGTCATAACTCATGACTTTATGTTGGCCCTTCTAAATAAAAAAAATAGGTTTATATTGTTTAAAATCAAGGGAGGATCATTAGGGTAAATATGTCATGATTGTAGCATGTATATTTGTGCTATTACATGTAATCCAATATAAATAATTGAGCATTTTTACCCCCATAAAAGGCTCATCTTAGAAAACGTACAAGAAAGTAGGGCTGCAACTAGTGCTGATTCGTTTGACAACAGGCAAATTTAAGGATGTATCTGACTGTGGGTTGAGTAAAGCTGAAGTATAGATGCATGTAATCATTATTTGATTTCTAAAACAGGTGACGACTACAGGGAAATCTCAATTACTCGTGATCTATTATTACAGTTCTTGATGGTTGTATTTCATATATTTAAGTATAGGACGAATCGATTGTTACAAAGGTGTTATATTTAATTCTATTTTAATTGAGTAAATCAGAGCATTAAACACTTTGGGAATCTTTCTCATTGTCCATTTCAAAAATAAATACTATTCATTGTGTTTAGCCTTTATTACTATACTTTTCGTTATTGTGAAAAGTTTTTAGGACTTGAAATTTGTGAAAAGTTTTTAGAAGTTTTTAGAATTTGAAACAATACATTCAGTAGATAATATGGTTAAAATAAGTATTATGGGTAAAACATGCTTTACACCTGTAACTCCATATGCTATTACAGCCATTCCCAAACTCAGTAACACCGAGGCCCCCTTAAAAATCTGACGGGTCTGCGTGGCCCCCCAAAATAATAACCAAGAAGACAACATTAAGAATAGGCTCTTCTGGTTATTTTATTTTGGGGAAATAGCCTCTGCTACAAACATTGTAATACAAAAATGATTACAGTGGCTTATTCAAGTCAAATAATGAACACAAATATGTTAATATTACAAACAAAACATTATAAATTTAACATTAAATAATTATATATATATATTTTTTTTTTTATGACCTCCCGCGGCCCCCCTGCAGTACCCTCGCGGCCCACCAGGGGGCCGCGGACCCCACTTTGGGAGACACTGTGCTATTAAGTAAAAATATTCAAGAACATGATTCTTACAGAGCTTATATATGTGCAATGCTTTTGTTTTAAAAAGCCGAAACACTACTAGTTTTCTGCCGATGACATAATACTATTACAGAACTGAGACAGGCTTTTAGACAGAAGGGATAGAGTTACATGTCTGCACCAGAATTTCCTGGTATTGGTGTGGATGGATCAAAAAACATAAATTTATACTGTATCATGAAACGGTATGTCTCGAATTAAAGCACGTTAAGCTACATGTTCTACATGAGAAGGGATTTATGATTGCAGTTTGAGTCAAATTTGGCCACTTATTGTGTATCTATTTTTATCTTTCGTCACTTTAGGAAAAGGAGTGGTTATGTCTCAACTGTCAGATGCATAAAGCCTCCGGGGCATCGGACCAACAACAGCAGCCAATGCAAAACAAGAAGCCGAGTCCGGCCCCTGGTCCGGCTGGTGCAGTGAAGAAGGAACCGTCTCCTCAAGTTCAAAGGAAAGACTTATCAAAACCCACACCTGGAAGCCCAGCCCCACCGGGATCTCCGCAGAGAAAACCACAGGCAAAGCCTGACAAAGAACCACTAAAGCCGGTCCAAAGAAGTCCTACTCCTCCCAAATCCATAGAAGCAAGCAAGTCTACAGATTTCAAACCAAGTGCGTCTCAAAGCATTCCTGGCAGTACCAAAGCTCCCCCAGAATCAACAAAACCATCCGAGTCCATTGGCGGGAAGATGTTCGGATTTGGTTCTTCAATATTTAGCTCTGCAAGCTCCATGATAACAACGCCGCCGCTGTCTCCAAAAATGCCTACTGCCAAGACAACTAAATCACCTCAGATTCCGCGAAAAGACGAGGAGAAGAAACCAGGTCAAGTTAATCAGCCAAATGCAAGTTCACTGCCCCAAGCCAAAGTGGAGAAGGCCCCATCTCAGCCAGGGAAACAAACAGCCCCAGCAGTACCGTCCAAATGTCCACTCTGCAAAATCCAGCTGAATGTGGGCTCCAAGGATCCTCCCAACTACAGCACGTGTACGCAGTGCAAGGAGACGGTGTGCAACCAGTGTGGGTTCAGTCCAGTGCCAAACGTCACAGAGGTAAGAACACTCAAAAAAGTGTGAATGAGAAGCACACCACACCATCATGATAGTAAGTACAGATTAATGAAAGATCGACCTATTGTGCCAGAATTCAGTATTTACAAGTGATCCACAGTTTGTTGTGGAAAAGAAAAACTTGTTCACAGCAGTTATTGCCATCCACACATGTGACTCTGCAGATCAGCTCTCAAGATTTAGTCTTTAGTTTTGTCTAGATCCTCAGCTGCTTGGAATCAGCTGTCTATGGCAGTGGTTCTCAACTGTGACCCAAATTATTTAGTTTAGTAGATGGCTATGAAAAATAGTGTATATTTTAACACATTGAATACTACTACGCGTGTAAATGTTTAGCCTTGGTATTTTGAAGACTAGTTATAATCATCCGATTTAGTTTGTATTTAGCTTTAGTAGATTAAAATATGTTATGCAAGAAGGTGGGGTTCTCATAAGGTTTTTTCTTTATCATTTAAGGAGATGCAGCATTTAATAAGATTTTATTTTTTATAAACAAGTACTTTATTGATGTACTAGCCCTTGTCTATGTGATCTAAAGAATTGATTCGTGATGTTAATTGATTTTATGGAGGTGCTTTTAGGATGATTACCATGATTGATTGACTTTTATTGACTATTACAAGATGGCAAATGTAATGTAATTTTAGACATTATCAAAATAACTTTTGTGACGATTATGAAATGTGTCAAGTAAGAAATTTTTTACTTGAATCCTTCTAAACTAATTATTGTTTTACATCCTTAGGTTAAGGAGTGGTTATGTCTGAATTGTCAAATGCACAGAGCTGCCGGTGCACCTGAGGGACTTAAAATGAAATCCCAAAATGTGGCCAAAACAACAGTAAAACCAACAACCAAACTGACAGAAATTTTGAAAAAGGACGAGGACAGTATCGCTCCAAAAGGCTCCAGTCCAGTGCAAGTCAAGAAGTCTTCAACGCCTGCTGATCCTCAGCCAAAACTAGACACAAAAGCAGTGGAGACTAAAACAGAGCAAGATCAAAAAGCATCTCTGAAGACGGAACAGCCCAAAACAGACCAGAAGCAGGCTGTAGCTGTAACATCAAAAGACACACCTTTAAAACCAACCTCAGAATCAAAAACTACCGAATCCGTCTCTGGGAAGATGCTTGGTTTTGGTTCGTCTATTTTCAGTTCTGCGTCCACTTTGATATCGTCTGCAGTACAGGATGAATCTCGATCGACTCCAGCAGCTTCTCGGAAGATGTCTGCTCCGGCCCAAGCCTCTCCCAAGATGTCCACCGGGCCTAAAGGCTCACCAACACAATCCACACCAATAGGTTCTCCCAAGAGAGAGGCAACAGCGGCCTGCAAAGTAGAAGAGAAAAGTGTTCCGGCAAATGCTAAAGCTCCACCACAAGACCCAAAGATAAGTGACTGTCCACTGTGCAAAACCAAGTTCAACACTGGATCAAAGGAAACGCCCAATTACAACACGTGTACTGGGTGTAAGGAGACCGTCTGCAATCAGTGTGGCTTCTGCCCAATGCCCATGGGAAAGGTAAGTCACATAATTGTATCAGTGATTTTTCAAATGTGTTTTTTGTGCCAACCACATTAGTCTATTTTGTCAAACTTCGAAATGTGTTATGTTTTTCCACATTAAATATTACCATTTATGATTACTAGGGCTGGGACTCAATAAAAATAAAAACAATCTAAAATTCCATATTCTTTGTAATTAATTCATCGCAATTAATCAAATTTAAATCGCGTATACATTTTTGACCTGAGAACCACTCAGTTACTTTTTTCCCCATCCACGGGGCCAACCAACGCGCCCACATCAGCTTCTTTGTTCATGTTCACTGTACCACTGTTGTTTGTTGTTGTCTGAACCCAATTCATGCACGTTAGGTCCGTCTGAGGCCCCGTCCACACTGGGAATCTGCTAAACCGCAAATAATTGTCTTTGTTCGCACCTGTCATCCACATGACAACAAACCATAAACAAATATATAAAAACGAAGCATGTATCTTAATGCCTTAAACACTATTCGCTGCTGCGAGCGATTTGCAGCTGTGGCCTGTTCAGAGAGATGTGTGATCACGGGACTCACTCTCAGAAATAACCAAAACAGGAGCTAAACCAGGACTAAACCAGGGCTGAGGATGGGGGTCAGTGCTTGTGAAAATATGTCTTCACCCTGCGTTTCTACTATGACTGTAAAAGTGCCGCTACAGAAGTACCGGCGTCAAAGCTCCGCCCACTTCTGTGTTTTTCCCCAATGCAGGACGTCAGAGGATGCACATGTTTGGAATGTTATCAATGTGATTGAAAATGTAGATGTTTGGTTATCTATGGATGCTAATTATTTTATAAACGGAAGGGGGAAAATATTCGGTTTTTAAAATACCCGGCTACGTGTGGACATGGCCAAAACTTATCCAAGGAGAAACATTCCGTGGTGCACAAATAAATATGATAAAAATGTGAAAAATTTTTTAATACGCTAATTTTTGTGTAATCATTTTATCTTTATTCATGCATTAAATTCCCAGCCCTAATAATAACTCTGTTTTTGTTGTTCTCCCCTAGGTCAAAGAGTGGCTGTGCCTGAACTGTCAGGTGAAGAGAGCAGCTTCTGCTCTAGAGCCTCAGGCTCCTAAACTCCTCAAGTCTCCGAGCAGAGCACCTGCTGCAGGGGAGAAGACAGTCACTCCTGCTCCAGGGAAAAAGGAGGCTCCACCGCCTGCACAAAAGAAGCCCTCAGAACCTCAGCCACAGGATAAAGTTAATGGAGCTGCTGAAAAGAAGAAAGTCCTGGACCAGAAAGCCCCACAGCCAAATGCACAGAAAGCTCCAGAGCAGGGAACACAGTCTCCTCGAAGGCAGAGTAAAGAACAAGAGTCTGGAGGCCTCTTTGGGTTTGGTGGTCCTAAAGCTCAGCCTGAGTCTGCAAAACCTGCAGAGTCAGTTGGAGGAAAAATGTTTGGCTTTGGTTCTTCTATCTTCAGTTCAGCTTCCACTTTAATAACTTCTGCTGTTCAGGACCAGCCAAAGACCACTCCACCGGTCTCTCCAAAGCTGTCCCCAAAACCATCTCCTGCAAAGGAAGCCAAGTCTCCTGCGGCACAGAAACCAGAGGAGAATAAGAAAGAAGAGGCTAAAATACCCCCAGCTGAACAGACTAAAGTGGACAAAGGTCCACCACAGCCCACAAAGACGGCAGCACCAACACAAGGTCCAGCTGTCAAACCAGGACAGTCCACCTGTCCATTGTGTAAGGTTCATCTCAACATCAACAGCAGAGATCCTCCCAACTACAGCAACTGCACTGAGTGCAAGAGCACTGTGTGCAACCAGTGTGGCTTCAACCCTTCTCCTAATGAACTTACAGGACAGGTACGGCTTTTCAGCATCATCATTTGAGACTGCTTTTTGAGGAAAAAAAATCCCCATTGTGGATGATAATATCACTTAATTTGTACACTACAATATCTGATCAAATTAAGCGTTGTACAAGTTTGGATCAAGTAGTTCTTATCTTGATTCATATTCATTTTATTGTCTTTACTAAAGGATCGAGCATTTCTATTTTCAAAAGAGACAACATGAGTAAATTCTACTTCATTTGAAGTGTGAATTTCCCTCCTTTTTCTCTATGAACGTTACATATTTTCAATACATTAGAATGAATTGTATTTTGTTCTTGGTGGTTTGTGAAGTCGTTGTCATATCAAAATGGCAGTCTTGTTCAACTATACCTGAGCAGTGTAATGAACAGTATCTACTGCTGCATAAAAGATGTATAGTTTAGTATGTTATGAAAAGTATTTTATGTTTATTGTTTGCTAGTGTCAGAACTTGTATAATGTCATTCTCTACCTATGTTTTGTTTTTCATTCAGGTCAAAGAGTGGCTGTGCCTGAACTGTCAGGTGAAAAGAGCAGCTGCTGCACCAGGGCTTCAGGCTCCTAAACTCCTCAAGTCTCCGAGCAGAGCCCCTACTGCAGGAGAGAAGACAGTCACTCCTGCTCCAGAGAAAAAGAAGACTCCACCTACTGCACAAAAGAATCTCGCAGAACCTCAGAAACAGGATAAAGTTAGTGGAGCTGCTGAAAAGAAGGAAGTCCTGGACCAGAAAGCCCCACAGCCAAATGCACAGAAAGCTCCAGAGCAGGGAACACAGTCTCCTCGAAGGCAGAGTAAAGAACAAGAGTCTGGAGGCCTCTTTGGATTTGGTGGTCCTAAAGCTCAGCCTGAGTCTGCAAAACCTGCAGAGTCAGTTGGAGGAAAAATGTTTGGCTTTGGTTCTTCTATCTTCAGTTCAGCTTCCACTTTAATAACTTCTGCTGTTCAGGACCAGCCAAAGACCACTCCACCGGTCTCTCCAAAGCTGTCCCCAAAACCATATCCTGCAAAGGAAGCCAAGTCTCCTGCGGCACCGAAACCAGAGGAGAACAAAAAAGAAGAGGCTAAAACAGTTCCACCCGAACAGACTAAAGCGGCCAAAGGTCTGCCACAGCCCACAAAGACGACAGCACCAACTCAAGGCTCAGCTGTCAAACCAGGACAGTCCACCTGTCCATTGTGTAAGGTTCATCTCAACATCAGCAGCAAAGATCCTCCCAACTACAGCAACTGCACTGAGTGCAAGAGCACTGTGTGCAACCAGTGTGGCTTCAACCCTTCTCCTAATGAACTTACAGGACAGGTATGGATTATTTATTCACCGGAGACACCAAACACTGTGTGATAATCACCAAGCATCCCCTTGCAAGCGGAAGTTTTTCTCCATTAACGGAAATCTAGGCAGTTTGATCCCTGTGATTGACTCATTATGAATCTATATTAATTTATGTTTGGGATGTGTGCTTGAAACAGTTTTATATTGATAACGGAGTGCCCACATACTAATATGGCTGTTTTGAGTTTTTGATATCACCAATTGGAACCAAATAATTTGCAGTGCATCTGAATATTCTTTTACATTTGTCAAGGAATTGCCTAACTCCTTTGCCAAAACCATGTGTATCAACGATGGTAAGGACAGTTTAAATCATCGAGTGACTGAGGAAGGAGTTTGAAAGAGCAGCTTGCATGCTTCTTTTCATAGATTCTTTAGAGAAGGATGCTTTTAAGGGCCTTATCCAAAGGCAATGACATGTGAGGCATTCTACAATTCACTGGGCTTTTTTCCAGCTTGAAGGCTTTTCAATTGTTCCATCCAAAAGGATCACAGTCTCTGCACAATCAGCTTGTAAAGTCTCATAGTTTTTACAACTGTAGACTTCATATTCTCAGTTGCACACACACAAACGCACACACAGTCTACTAATAAACCTCTTGAGATCTTGATATGTACTGGAAAGAACATTTGTTCATTGTTTGATGGGCTGTGCTCAACCAACTATTGGAATAATTGGTTGGTTAAATGAAAGAGCAGAGGGATACATTAATAGGAACAGCTAATGGGGATTCTGGAGAGAATATATTTTATACTTGGAGTATTTTTGTGTTGGTAGCAGTTTGTGTTACATTTTTCAGTCACCAGCCTGCTATTTGCAATCGCTGGCAGAGAAATAACATGGTACTGAAAAACAGTGTACTATAATTGGTGCTGTACTGGAACAAAATCTGTAGTTAGTCCATTTATTTTTATTTTATAAAAAAGTTGAAGGTGACAACGTCTGTTGTTTTCAGAAGAACTTATCTTAAATATCTTTATTCCTCTTATGGTTGACCGTAAAGGAGTTAGAGGCTGAAGTTAAAGGTTACCTTCTTGGGCATTCGGATGGATAATCAACATCTGTTCAAGACATTTTATTCATTATTTTTGGTCTGCAAGATGGCCATTGATGGACATTTTTCTCTCAATCAGATTATGATTGTATTTTCTTATTTTTCATTGTCTTTCAGGTAAAAGAGTGGCTGTGCCTGAACTGTCAAGTGAAAAGAGCAGCTGCTGCACTAGAGCCTCAGGCTCCTAAACTTCCCAAGTCTCCCAGCAGAGCTTCTGCTGCAGGAGCGAAGACAGTCACTCCTGCTCCAGAGAAAAAGGAGGCTCCACCTCCTGCACAAAAGAAGCCCTCAGAACCTCAGCCACAGGATAAAGTTAGGGGAGCTGCTGAAAAGAAGGAAGTCCTGGACCAGAAAGCCCCACAGCCAAATGCCCAGAAAGCTCCAGAGCAGGGAACACAGTCTCCTCGAAGGCAGAGCAAAGAACAAGAGTCTGGAGGCCTCTTTGGGTTTGGTGGTCCTAAAGCTCAGCCTGAGTCTGCAAAACCTGCAGAGTCAGTTGGAGGAAAAATGTTTGGCTTTGGTTCCTCTATCTTTAGTTCAGCTTCCACTTTAATAACTTCGGTTCAGGACCAGCCAAAGACCACTCCACCGGCCTCTCCAAAGCTGTCCCCAAAACCATCTCCTGCAAAGGAAGACAAGTCTCCTGCGGCACAGAAACCAGAGGAGAATAAGAAAGAAGAGGCTAAAATACCCCCAGCTGAACAGACTAAAGTGGACAAAGGTCCACCACAGCCCACAAAGACGGCAGCACCAACACAAGGTCCAGCTGTCAAACCAGGACAGTCCACCTGTCCATTGTGTAAGGTTCATCTCAACATCAACAGCAGAGATCCTCCCAACTACAGCAACTGCACTGAGTGCAAGAGCACTGTGTGCAACCAGTGTGGCTTCAACCCTTCTCCTAATGAACTTACAGGACAGGTACGGCTTATCAGCATCTACATTTTTGAGATTGTTTTTTGAGGAAAAAAAATCCCCATTGTGGATGATAATATCACTTATTTTGTACACTACAATATCTGATCAAATTAAGCGTTGTACAAGTTTGGATCAAGTAGTTTTTATCTTGTTGTCATATCAAAATGGCAGTTTTGTTCAACTATACCTGAGCAGTGTAATGAACAGTTTCTACTACTGGATAAAAGATGTATACAGTAGTTTAGTATGTTGTGAAAAGTATTTTATGTTTATTGTTTGCTAGTGTCAGAACTTGTATAATGTCATTCTCTACCTATGTTTTGTTTTTCATTCAGGTCAAAGAGTGGCTGTGCCTGAACTGTCAGGTGAAAAGAGCAGCTGCTGCACCAGGGCTTCAGGCTCCTAAACTCCTAAAGTCTCCCAGCAGAGCCCCTGCTGCAGGAGAGAAGACAGTCACTCCTGCTCCAGAGAAAAAGGAGGCTCCACCGCCTGCGCAAAAGAAGCCCTCAGAACCTCAGCCACAGGATAAAGTTAGTGGAGCTGCTGAAAAGAAGGAAGTCCTCGGCCAGAAAGCCCCACAGCCAAATGCACAGAAAGCTCCAGAGCAGGGAACACAGTCTCCTCGAAGGCAGAGCAAAGAACAAGAGTCTGGAGGCCTCTTTGGGTTTGGTGGTCCTAAAGCTCAGCCTGAGTCTGCAAAACCTGCAGAGTCAGTTGGAGGAAAAATGTTTGGCTTTGGTTCTTCTATCTTCAGTTCAGCTTCCACTTTAATAACTTCTGCTGTTCAGGACCAGCCAAAGACCACTCCACCGGTCTCTCCAAAGCTGTCCCCAAAACCATCTCCTGCAAAGGAAGCCAAGTCTCCTGCGGCACAGAAACCAGAGGAGAATAAGAAAGAAGAGGCTAAAACAGCTCCACCCGAACAGACTAATGTGGACAAAGGTCCACCACAGCCCACAAAGACGACAGCACCAACTCAAGGCTCAGCTGTCAAACCAGGACAGTCCACCTGTCCATTGTGTAAGGTTCATCTCAACATCAGCAGCAAAGATCCTCCCAACTACAGCAACTGCACTGAGTGCAAGAGCACTGTGTGCAACCAGTGTTGCTTCAACCCTTCTCCTAATGAACTTACAGGACAGGTACGGCTTATCAGCATCTACATCCTTAATGTTCCTTTTTGCGAAAAGTAATTGCCCCTTAATGGATCATAACATCAATACAATTGTAAACTGCAAAACCTGATCATATATAGTGTGGTAAATGTTTGAATCAAGTAGATTTTTCTATTGTGATTCGAAGAACTTTTGAAATCTTCCTACAAAAGTTGCCATTAGGTTGAGCATAACTAATTTCAAGGACGGTACCATTAGCATTTTGCATTTCCTTCAATTTGCTCGTCTCTGGAATAAAATATTAAAACACGATTTTCCAAAGGTACAAGCTATTTTTTATAACAATGACATAGGTAAAATTAAGAAAAAACTTCTGAATTCTATTTTGTAGTCTTTTTTGCAGTGCATTATAATAAAATCAGTCTCTGATCAAACGAGGAGTTGGCATTGTTTTGGCTGGCAATTGTTGTCAAGCACCCAAAGGCATGCAGGGTTGAGTCCCATGAGCGGAATTGTATAATTACAATAAGTCAGTATGAATCTAATGTGTTCTTAGTGGTTAGTGAAGTGGTTGTCCACACAAAATGGCTGTAGTCTGTTCAACTGTATCTGAGCAGCGTAATGAACAGTTTCTTCCTTTGTATATCAGAACTATGTAGAGTCTGGTACTTAGAGAAATGTATTTGATGTTAATTGCTTGGCAGAGGCTAGAGTCAGAATTAGCATAATTCCATACTTTACCTATGTTTTGTTTTTATTCAGGTCAAAGAGTGGCTGTGCCTGAACTGTCAGGTAAAAAGGGCTGCTGCTGCACCAGAGCTTCAGGCTCCTAAACTCCTCAAGTCTCCGAGCGGAGCTTCTGCTGCAGGAGAGAAGAGAGTCACTCCTGCTCCAGAGAAAAAGGAGGCTCCATTGCCTGCACAAAAGAAGCCCTCAGAACTTCAGCCGCAGGATAAAGTTAATGAAGCTGCTGAAAAGAAGGAAGTCCTGGACCAGAAAGCCCAACAGCAAAATGCACAGAAAGCTCCAGAGCAGGGAACACAGTCTCCTCGAAGGCAGAGCAAAGAACAAGAGTCTGGAGGCCTCTTTGGGTTTGGTGGTCCTAAAGCTCAGCCTGAGTCTGCAAAACCTGCAGAGTCAGTTGGAGGAAAAATGTTTGGCTTTGGTTCTTCTATCTTCAGTTCAGCTTCCACTTCAATAACTTCTGCTGTTCAGGAGTCGCCAAAGACCACTCCACCGGCCTCTCCAAAGCTGTCCCCAAAACCATCTCCTGCAAAGGAAGCCAAGTCTCCTGCGGCACAGAAACCAGAGGAGAATAAGAAAGAAGAGGCTAAAACAGCTCCACCCGAACAGACTAAAGTGGACAAAGGTCTGCCACAGCCCACAAAGGCGGCAGCACCAACTCAAGGCCCAGCTGTCAAACCAGGACAGTCCACCTGTCCATTGTGTAAGGTTCATCTCAACATCAGCAGCAAAGATCCTCCCAACTACAGCAACTGCACTGAGTGCAAGAGCACTGTGTGCAACCAGTGTGGCTTCAACCCTTCTCCTAATGAACTTACAGGACAGGTACAGCTTATCAGCATCTACATCCTTAAAGTTGTTTTTTGCAAAAAATATATTTGTCTAAAACATATTATAACATGGGGAGTTCTTTATGCACTCCAAAACCCGATAAAAGATATTGTGGAAAACCTTGGCTCAAGTTGTTTTTATCTTGATTCAAAAACATCTTAATGTCTTCCTACAAGACTTACTAATGCGTCGAGCAAAACTAGTTACAAGGGCATTACCATTAGTATTTCATTCAAAGTAAGAATTGCTCTTCTCTGAATTAAAAAAAAAATATATATATATATGTATTTTAACAACAACTTCAACAGTTAAATTTAAGATAAATTTAACTTAATTTCTGAAGTACTTTTTGTAATATCCTTTGCAGTGTCCAAAAATGTATTCGGTCTACAATCAAATTAGGGGTAGGCATTGTTTTTGCTGGTATTAGTTGTCCAACACCCGATGGAATGCAGTTTTGAGGCTTATGAGTTGAAGGTGATAATTACAGTACGTTAGTTTTAATGTAAATGTATTCTTGGTGGTTAGTGAAGTGGTTTTCCACAAAAAAATTGTTTTTAACTGTTCAACGGTATCCAGCAGCGTAATTAACAGTTACTACCACTGTATATCATAACTATGAAGCGTCTACTATATAATGAAATTAATTTTATGTTAACTGTTTGTAAGAGGTTAAAGTAAGAATTTGCATAATGTCATACTGTACCTATGTTTTGTTTTCCACTCAGGTCAAAGAGTGGCTGTGCCTGAACTGTCAAGTGAAAAGAGCAGCTGCTGCACCAGAGCCTCAGGCTCTTAAACTCCTCAAGTCTCCGAGCGGAGCTTCTGCTGCAGGAGAGAAGACAGGGACTCCTGCTACAGAGAAACAGGAGTTTCCAACGCCTGCACAAAAGAAGCCCTCAGAACCTCAGCCACAGGATAAAGTTAATGGAGCTGCTGAAAAGAAGGAAGTCCTGGACCAGAAAGCCCCACAGCCAAATGCACAGAAAGCTCCAGAGCAGGGAACACAGTCTCCTCGAAGGCAGAGCAAAGAACAAGAGTCTGGAGGCCTCTTTGGATTTGGTGGTCCTAAAGCTCAGCCTGAGTCTGCAAAACCTGCAGAGTCAGTTGGAGGAAAAATGTTTGGCTTTGGTTCTTCTATCTTCAGTTCAGCTTCCACTTTAATAACTTCGGCTGTTCAGGACCAGCCAAAGACCACTCCACCGGTCTCTCCAAAGCTCTCCCCAAAACCATCTCCTGCAAAGGAAGCCAAGTCTCTTGCGGCACAGAAACCAGGGGAGAATAAGAAAGAAGAGGCTAAAACAGCTCCACCCGAACAGACTAAAGTGGACAAAGGTCTGCCACAGCCCACAAAGACGGCAACACCAACTCAAGGCCCAGCTGTCAATCCAGGACAGTCCACCTGTCCATTGTGTAAGGTTCATCTCAACATCAACAGCAGAGATCCTCCCAACTACAGCAACTGCACTGAGTGCAAGAGCACTGTGTGCAACCAGTGTGGCTTCAACCCTTCTCCTAATGAACTTACAGGACAGGTACAGCTTATCAGCATCTACATTCTTAATGTTGCTTTTTGCGGAAAAAAAAACAAAAAACCAACAAACAAAAAATTACACTGCAAAACCTTATTAACTATTGTGTGGTAAAAGCCAACAATTATTGGCTTGTACCTTTGGAAAATCTTGTTTTAATAACAATGGCAATAGGTAAAATCAAGAAATCAAAATGTTAACTTCTTTCCTGAATTACTTTTGTTTTCTTTTTTGAAGTTTACAATAATGTAGTCAGTCCACAATCAAATTAGGGGTAGGCATTGTCTTGGATTGTATAAGTTGTCCAACACCCGAAGGAATGCAGGTTTAAGTTCTACAAGTGGAATGTTATAATTACTGTACATTAGTATTAATGTTAATGTTTTCTTTGTGGTTTGTGAAGTGGTTGATGACACAAAAGGGCAGTTGTCTCTTCACCTCTACCTGATCAGCTTAATGAACAGTATCAAGTTACTACCACTGAATTTTAGAACTATGAAGGGTCTACTATAAAATGAAATTTATTTGATGTTAATCGCATGGGAGAGGTTATAGTCAGAACTTGCTTAATGTCATAATTACCTATGTTTTGTGTTTCATTCAGGTCAAAGCGTGGCTGTGCCTGAACTGCCAGGTAAAAAGGGCAGCTTCTGCACCAGAGCTTCAGGCCCCTAAACTCCTCAAGTCTCCGAGCGGAGCTTCTGCTGCAGGAGCGAAGACAGGCTCCCCTGCTCCTGAGATAAAGAAGGCTCCTCAGTCTGCACAAAAGAAACCCTCAGAACCTCAGCCACAGGATAAAGTTAGTGGAGCTGCTGAAAAGAAGGAAGTCCTGGACCAGAAAGCCCCACAGCCAAATTCACAGAAAGCTCCAGAGCAGGGAACACAGTCTCCTCGAAGGCAGAGCAAAGAACAAGAGTCTGGAGGCCTCTTTGGATTTGGTGGTCCTAAAGCTCAGCCTGAGTCTGCAAAACCTGCAGAGTCAGTTGGAGGAAAAATGTTTGGCTTTGGATCTTCTATCTTCAGTTCAGCTTCCACTTTAATAACTTCGGCTGTTCAGGACCAGCCAAAGACCACTGCACCGGTCTCTCCAAAGCTGTCCCCAAAACCATATCCTGCAAAGGAAGCCAAGTCTCCTGCGGCACAGAAACCAGAGGAGAATAAAAAAGAAGAGGCTAAAATACCCCCAGCTGAACAGACTAAAGCGGACAAAGGTCTGCCACAGCCCACAAAGGCGGCAGCACCAACTCGAGGCCCAGCTGTCAAACCAGGACAGTCCACCTGTCCATTGTGTAAGGTTCATCTCAACATCAGCAGCAAAGATCCTCCCAACTACAGCAACTGCACTGAGTGCAAGAGCACTGTGTGCAACCAGTGTGGCTTCAACCCTTTGCCAAATGATGTAACGGTAAGTTCTTGGCATCACAGAAAAACTGCAGCAGTAAAACTAATAAGTAGTTAAAATGTTCTTTTGTTTTCAGGGTAAGGAATGGTTATGCTTGAATTGTCAGACCAAAAGGGCGCTGTCTATGACTGACTCAAACGTGTTACTTGAAAAAGTTCAGAAGAAAGAAACTTCTATAGTTGAAGAAGTTGCGGTGGATCTCATTAAGACGAAAGAAGAGATTTCCACTGCACCTCAAAATAAGCCACAGGAACTAGTCAAGATGCCGAATCAGACAAGAAGAGCTAGTAATGTGTCTGTAAAGAGCGAGCCAGATTCAGGGGGTCTTTTTGGATTTGGTGGGAAGGCCCAAGCAGATACTGCAAAGCCTGCAGAGTCGGTGTCCGGGAAGATGTTTGGCTTTGGTTCATCCTTACTCAGCTCAGCTTCCACTTTGGTCACTTCTGCGGTTCAAGACCAGACTTTGACTACAACACCTGCTTCTCCAAAGATGTCCACCGCAAAAGACAATCTTCCATTAACACAGCAAACTGAATCAGAGAAGAAATCAGAACCCCTGACAAACAAGAAGATTCCCTCAGTTGCAGAGGCCAAAGCAGAGAAAGCTCCACCAGTACCTCCTCAGAAGACTGTCTCTCAAGATGCTGTTAAGTTGACAGACTCTACTTGTCCTCTGTGTAAGGCTCAACTGAACGTCAACTCCAAGGAGTCACCAAACTACAATTCCTGTACTGAATGCAAGAACACTGTGTGTAACCAGTGTGGGTTTAGCCCAATGCCAAGTGGATCAGAGGTGAGTGTGTGATTGATAGATACTTTATTGATCCCTCTCGGGAGTAATTCAGGTATCCAGTATCAGCAGAAACACATGCATTCATACAAACAAAACACTTAATAGGATCATTCTAAAAATAGCTAACTATAGTAATAAAATGCATCAGCACTTTAGGTCACAGCAGCAGAGGTGGAGTCACCGCTGGGTGGAGCAGGACAGGCCACAGCAGCAGAGGCAGAATATCCTCAGGGTGGAGCAGGCCATACTGTTATCATTAAAATGTGTTTTAAAGTTTGAGACCAGAACTTATTCCTTTTGTCAACCACCCTCCTAGATTTCTCAATACAATAAGTAACAAGAGTTCCGGCGAAGGAGGGAGATATTGAGTCTGAAGTCTGGACCATGTTCTCTTCCTCCATCGTCGATGCGGCGGCTCGTAGCTGTGGTCGCAAGGTCTCTGGTGCTGGTCCCGGCGGCAACCCCCGAGCCTGGTGGTGGACACCGGTAGTAAGGGATGCCGTCAGGCTGAAGAAGGAGTCCTATTGAGCCATGATGGTTCGTGGGACTCCTGAGGCAGCTGTCCAGTACCGGTAGGCCAAGCGTGCCGCAGCCCGGGATGTTGCAGAGGCAAAAACCAGGAGGGGGAAGCAGTGCTTTGCCAACACCGTGTACGGTGCGGGTGGAGAGCTGCTGACCGCGACTGGGGATATTGTCGGGCGGTGGAAGGAGTACTTCGAGATTCTCCTCAATCCCCCCGTCACGTTCTCCGTTCCGGAGGCAGAGGCTGAGGATGTTGGAGCGGACACTTCCATCTCCCTGGCTGAGGTCACCAAGGTGGTTGGCAGCCTCCATGGTGGCAAGGCTCCTGGAGTGGATGAGATCCGTCCTGACTATCTTAAGTCTCTGGATGTCTGGAGGCTACGGCCGATGGTCGAATCTCATATTCAGGAGGAGCAGTGTGGTTTTCGTCCCGGTCGTGGAACACTGGACCAGCTCTATACTCTCCATTGGATACTCGAGGGTTCATGGGAGTTCGCCCAACCAGTCCACATGTGTTTTGTGGATTTGGAGAAGGCGTTCGACCGTGTTCCCCGGGTAGTTCTATAGGGGGTGCTCCGGGAGTACGGGGTCCGGGGTCCTCTGGTGAGGGACGTCCTGTCCCTGTATGACCGGAGTCAGAGCTGCATTCGCATTGCCGGCAGTAAGTCAGACCTGTTCCCAGTGCATGTTGGCCTCCGCCAAGGCTGCCCTTTGTCACCGGTTCTGTTCACTGTATTTATGGGGGGGGGTCCGGTTCGGGGACCAAAGGATTTAATCTCTGCTGTTTGCGACGATTTTGTCCTGTTGGCTCCAACGAACCAGGACCTGCAGCATGCACTAAAACGGTTTGCAGCCGAGTGTGAAGCGGCAGGGATGAGAATCAGCACCTTCAAATCCGAGGACATGGTGCTCGACCGGAAAAAGGTGCCTTACCCTCTCCAGGTGGGTGGAGTGGTCCTTCCTCAAGTGGAGGAGTTCAAGCATCTCGGGGTCTTGTTCACGAGTGAGGGAAGGTTGGAGCGTGAGATTGACAGGCGGATCGGTGCAGCGTGCGCAGTGATGCGGTCGCTGTATCGGACCGTTGTGGTGAAGAGGGAGCTGAGCCGAAAGGCAAAGCTCTCGATTTACCGGTCAATCTTCGTTCCCTCCCTCACCTATGGTCATGAGCTTTGGGTAATGACCGAAAAAACAAGATCGCGATACAAGCGGTCGAAATGAGCTTCCTCCGCAGAGTGGCTGGGCGCTCCCTTAGAGATAGGGTGAGGAGCTCAGTCACACCGGAGGAGCTCAGAGTAGAGCCGCTGCTCCTTCACATCGAGAGGAACCAGTTGAGGCGGCTCGGGCATGTGTTCCGGATGCCCCCCGGACGCCTCCCTGGGGAGGTGTTCCGGGCACGTCCCACAGGGAGGAGACCCCGGGAAGACCCAGGACACGCTGGAGGGACTATGTTTTAGAGTTTTAGAGACAATCACCCCAAAGTGTATCATATGTCAAGATCAGACCTGGGAAAACTGTGGCCTGGGGTGCACACTGGCAGTCTATTTATCCTATTTGAATTTATGTTATGCCAATATTTTCGTAAACTCCTGGAATTGTCTATTAATGCATAGTTTCTTTTTTCCTATGAGGTTTCCCTACTTTGATTGGAACTTTGCAAAATATGTTTATTCTAAGACATTTTTTTCTGATTTCTCCATAGACAAAGGAGTGGTTATGTCTGACCTGCCAGATGCAAAGAGCCCTGAAACAGTCTGAAGAAGTTCAGCCTCCAGTGAGGAAACCTCTGGGAACCCTAAACAAAGCTTCTACCCCAGTAGTTGTTCCTGGAGAAATAATAGAGACCCCTGCAACTCCAAAACCAGAAGTGTCCGAGAAAATACAAAAAGACGCTGTACACAAAAAGCCTGATGAAATAAAGCTGCCAACTGAAACTGCAGACACTGCTACTTCAAAATCACCTGGAAAAGAAGTTCCATCATCGAAGGAGTTTGAGGTCAAGGCCAAAACAGCAAAACCAGTTAGGGCAAGTGTTGAAGAGAAGGTTGAGGAAAAACCTGCACCATCAAAAGAAAGCAAAAAGGAAGAGCCCACTGAGAAGAAAGAAATCCTAGCAGTTTCAAAAGAGGACTCAAAGACAGAAAACATTTCAAAAAAAGAGGATTTTGGAGGCTTCTTTGGTTTTGGTAGTCCTAAATCTCAGCGTTCTGCCTCTATAATACCAGAGCCTGTGTCTGGAAAAGTTATGGGATTTGGCTCTTCGCTCTTCAGCTCGGCTTCTACTTTGATTTCATCTGCAGTGAAGGACGAATCCCGCTCTACGCCCCCAAGCTCTAGAAAAATGTCTGCTCCTCCACAGGTTTCTGACAAGACTCCACCTTCAAAAGAGTCTCCAAAGGCAAGTCCTCCAGTTTCTCCAAAAGTTGCCAAAGCAGTTCCATCCCCGAAGGCCATTGAGCAAAAGGCTGAAGATACACCTGAGAATATAATTGAAAAGGAAGTGAAAGATGCTCCCAAACCAGAATCTCCCAAACCTGTTTTGAAAGTGGAGCTTACAGCCTGCCCACTTTGTAAGATGGAAATCAACTTGTCATCAAAGGACAGTCGCAACTACAATATATGCACCGAATGCAAAAATGTGGTGTGCAATAAATGTGGATTCAGGACATTGCCAACAGTATCGGAGGTAAAAATAATCAAATATACTACTTGTTTTCTTTGATAAGGATATTGTATAATTTCAATGTGTTTGTTTTTGTATTGTTCTTAGGTCAAGGAATGGCTTTGTCTCAATTGTCAGATGCAGAGAGCCCTTGGAGCATCTGAACCTCCTGGTCTGCCAATGATGAAACCTTCACCAAAGAAGGATATTGTTTCACAGCCTACAACCAAGGATACCGCTGAGCCAGTCATGAAAAAAACCGAGAATGCTACTCAATTAATAGCTGAAGATAAGACCATGCCCACGGAAGTATCTCCAAAGGTTCCAGAAAAGGAGCCTCAGCTACAGGAGGCTGTTTCTGTGACTAAAGAGTCAGTAGATAACGTACCCTCAGAAGAACCTGGACCAAATGTTCCAACTCCATCAACTAAAGCTGAGTTCAATCAAGCACCAGAGAAGAAAGATACTCCACTGAAACCAACCCCTACTACAGGAGAGATACATATAGAACTTCCAAAGCCAGCTCCATCTGCTGTTTCTCCCACTCCCCCAAAAGGTCTTTCTGAGGTACAACAACCCCAGATGCCTTCAAGTATGGTTCCTCCAGCTGTTATCAAAGCAAAGGAACCAGTCCAACAGCCACCTAAACCAACACCTAAGGACGCTTCCACAACAGCTCCAAAAGCACTTGAAGCAGTTAAGCCTACATCAGAACAAGGGGGTCCACAACCTTTAGCTAAATCTTCCGTGCCACCTGTGGAGGCCAAGGCCACTACAACTGCAGTCAAACCAGTTCCACCTGCTCCATCTCCAAAGCCAGATTTGAAAACAGTTGCTCCCTTAGAACAAGGTAGTCCACAACCTTTAGTCAAGCCTGCCACGCCACCTGCAGAAGCTAAGGCCACCACAAAGCAAACACCCGAACCAACCTCAACTACGTTTAAACCAGTTCCACCCGCCCCATCTCCAAGGCCAGAGGGGACAAAAGTATCTCCGGTACAATCACCCAAACCTGCTCAAAAAGCTACAGTGGAAACCAAACCAGCCCTAGCTCAAACAGCAAAACCTGGACCTCCAGCTGCTAAACCTACACAGCCATCAACACAGCCCGCAAAACAAGAGTCAGGTAGTTTCTTTGGTTTTGGTGGTTCTAAGCCTCAGCCTGCAGCTCAGAAACCTGCAGAGTCCGTCACTGGGAAAATGTTTGGTTTTGGATCATCGTTCTTAAATTCAGCGTCTAATTTGATATCATCGGCTGTTCAGGAAGAGCCTAAAACCACACCGCCAACACCTCGTAAAATGTCAACAGCCCAAGTTTCTCCTAAAGCCACACCCCCGCCCTCTCCGAGAACTGAGAAGAAACCTCAGGAGAAGTCTCTGGTGACTGAACGCAAAGTCACACCACAACCTACCAAAACGCCAGCTGGCACCAAGGTACCAGCAAAGATGGAGAAGCCTTCTTGTCCTCTTTGTAAAGTGGAACTCAATACGGGCTCAAATGACCCTGCAAACTACAATACATGCACTGAATGCAAGAAGAGGGTCTGCAACCAGTGTGGATTTAATCCAATGCCAAATGTGACTGAGGTATGGAATCTTCTTCTATATGATTGTTTTAACAATTCAATAGAGGCATAAAATAGACTGAGGGATTGCTAGCCTCTCTTGTTAAAAGAAACATTTAATGCCTTCTGCCAAATAAAAATAATCAACATCACATGCAGGTGACTAAGCCCAGTCATACTCCATGTAGAATACTAGAGTATCTTTATTCCACGTAAAATGTAAAATCAATATAATTTTGATGATTCTGGCATATAGTGAATTTTCGAAATATTCACATTTTTAGCTGTTTTATTTGAGGTTTTTATTTTACAAGCTGTAAGCCAATTATCAACAATATAGGAAATAAAGGCTCAATATATCTCACATCGAAGAAGAGTTTATGCAGGTTGCCGACCCCTGCAATAAGCAATAATGTAATAATAGTGTTTTAAATATTTTCCTCACATTGCTAAGAAATTCTAAGATTCAACATGATATGGGGGAGTTTATAATTTTAGTTTATATAATCTAAGAAGCTTGGGGGGACAACAGTAGCTCTGGTACAATCACCCAAAACACAAAAAGTGGAAGCCAAAGACACACAAGCTTAAACAATTATATGCATGTTTATAAAGTATGTAAATTATGTTTTTTTTTTTACTGGAAATACAAATACAGAAAAAATATCTTCCTTACTAGCAGTCCCAGTGGCATTGAATTGTGGGACAGATCAATAGGACACCTTTTTCAGTATGGGTCAGTTGGCATCTTATCTTAACTTACAAACATGTGACTATAGTATGTACCTGATTCATCAAGTTATGATTGCCTGATAACACAGGTGTAAAAACAACACCGTTTTGGTTTTTTTCTCTTACTACGCACGCACACACACACACACACACACATACACAGTGGTACACCAACCATTAATTTTGCTCATGTCAGACATCGATGGTAGATAGAGAAGTATGAATTCACCACATAAAGGGAAAAAAGTTTTGTGAGAATGTTGCATTTAATTTTTTTACTGTGTTTGTCTTGATAGGTAAAGGAATGGCTGTGCTTGGACTGCCAGATGAAACGGGCTATAGGGCCATCAGAGGCTTCAGGACTTCCTGCCATGAAGCCACTGGCCCAGAGCAAAGAGCAGAAAGATAAACCTTTATCACAAAAGGAAAATCTCCCAGAGGCTGAAACTAAAAAGGATTTTATTCCTTCGGCTCCACCCAAGAAGGAGGTTGTTTCCCCAACTCCACACAATAAATTTCCACTAACGCAGTTCAACAACGAGGCTGTTCCACAAACTCCGCCCCAAAAAGAGGCTGTTTCACCAACTCCACCAAAGAAAGAGGCGGTTATCGCAACTCCACCAAAGAAAGAGGCTGTTACCCCAACTCCACCCAAGAAAGAGGTCCCAGACATTGAGACCTCAGTTACAGGTGCTGCCCCTACTCAAAAAGGTTCTTTACCAAAACCTCAGGCCGTTCCAGGAACTCAGCCAGCACCACAAACAAAGGATATTGACCAAAAGCAGCCACCAGTTACAACATTGGCACAACCAACGCATCCTGCAAAGGGCAAAGTTAATGAAACTCCTCTGAAACCAACACCAAAGCCAGAGGTCAAAGAAACGACCAAACAGGACGTGACCAAACCTTTGGTGCAACAACCTTCAAAACCTGCTCCAGCCAAGGCTGCTCCACCATCCCAGCCCCCGAAGAAGGAAGAATCTGGTGGTTTTTTTGGATTTGGTGGCCCCAAAACACCGGCAAAGACTGAAACGGCCGCTGGTAAGATGTTCGGCTTTGGTTCGTCATTCCTTAGCTCTGCCTCTACACTTATCACCTCAGCAGTCCAGGACGAACCCAAGACAACTCCACCAGTTTCGCCAAAAATTTCCCCATCCAAACCCAAGCCGGAACAACAGGCACCGGCAAAGGCTACTCCACCGGTGGAAAGGAAAGTAGAGCTAACAAAAGACAAGGAGGTGAAACAGGTGTCTTCTGCCTGTCCACTCTGTAAGGTTGAGCTGAACATCGGCTCTAAGGATTTGCCTAATTATAACACGTGCACGGAATGCAAGAACAAAGTCTGCAACCTCTGTGGATTTAACCCAACGCCTCATACAGCAGCGGTGAGTTCCATTTTAATTATGTGTGCCATGTTTTAATTAACTCTAAATCATTTTGGTAAGGTCAGACCTGTGAGTAATGGTAGCTGGAGGATTCTTGTGGGTTGTTGTTAAAAGGAAAAATGTGATGTGCTATTGGTGTTTTTGGAATTTTTATTGGAAGTTGATATGTGTTACATGCAATGAGCTTTGTAATTGTAGTTGAATGCATGTAAGTCAAAGGATTCTGAATAATGTGGTGATAAGATTGAGAAGCTATTTCCAATTATAACTGTGGTTGAAAAATGAATCTTTACTACACATCAGCCATATGCGCTTATTGCATAATTTGTCTTTGCCAGCACCTTTTTGCATATTTTATTTTTGTCAATTAGTATTTTCAATTCATTGACGCGAAGGGTCAGTAGTCTCCCAAGAACTCCCAGTGAACAGCATGTTTAGCTTCACGGCAAATTTGTGCTTTCAATTCTTACAACCCTTTTTCTCCCTTTGTCATTGTCCGTTTAAGAAAATATAAGATAAGTTAAGGAGAACCTTTATTTGTCCCACAGTGGGGAAATTTCAATGTCACGGACTACGCAACATATACACTATAAATAGTTTTTGTGTTTCTTAGCTAGTTTGAAATGCTTCGATATCAATATATTTATATATTGTGTGAAGTTAATCTAGGAAGTCAGGGAGCTCATACATGTTGACATGGGCAATATTAATTCTGAGTATCATTCTTAGAGTTGGTAGTTTTTAGAGAAGGCATTTGTATATGAATTTGGCTGCTGCTGGGAATAGTTATCCATGACATCAAGTCAAGATAATGTAGATCAACTATTGTTACATTTTATTTCGAACTATATCAATGTTCCTGATGTGTTATTTTGAACATGTCAATGTCTTTATTTGGGGGTGAGCAGTAGAGCATACTGTTTTATGCAAACAGTACAAGCTACATTTTAATTTAAACCATATATCTTTAAAACATATTTTCAAATTCATGATTTTGTATTATGTGGGAATTTTTTGTGAAATCCTATGTATTAATTGACCAAGCCTAAAAACATTATTACAAATGTTTTAATGAGACCCAATGATGACGTTAGATATGTTTTGTCATTTTGATTTATTTTCAGAAGTTATTCTAACGGATATTAACCTCAAAACATACGTATTTCCTTCCTATTAAGATAACATATTTAGTTGTTTTTACAGAAATTGCTCACTCAAATATGCAACCTCTAAGATTAAACGCCACACAAATCTTATTTCAAGACATTCAAATTAAATGTATGCATATGCATCATTCCTTGTTGCTGTGTGCAAATATGATTAAAATACATCCCTTCTTCAAAGTTGCTACTCGCCAGATTACAGCCCTGTTGATGATATTGATCTAGAGTTTTTATTATGGATTATCTCATCACATAATGGTGACCTTTTCAATATTTCCTTCCTGGAAATTGAGCCTGAAGTTATAGTATTTTGTGGATTAAGAGAAACACCACCCACATGTCTGACTGCTTACGTAATCGCGCATGAGCCGAGCTTTCCCCTGTGCGCACCATACCAGCCCACTGCATGAGAAGTGATTGAGCGTTGTGCAACCGCATTAGCTGATGGAATCCATTAGACTTCTGGACTCTAGCAGCAGCAGCAGTAGTAACTAGGGAATCTCCAGCCCCGCAGTGTGAAAACAAAGCCCCAACAATATGCCAATAAGCAAGAGGTGGACCGGATTTCACCCGTCACAACTCTGGCGGACGTTACATTTCCTCTGAGGCCATCTGCTCTTTCACAGATCAGCGGTGGCGCACAATTTGTCAGTTCTAAATTTATCATACAGAGGGCAGAGAGCACATTTGTAGGCTTTTCAGTCTTCTTTGAAATGCCACTGTTTAGTTGGCCGTGAAATAAGCTGACCAGGGCAGCAGAATAGATAATGCGCATGCCGATCCATGGGCGTTATCTCTATAATTCTCTACCGCAGGGTGTGTTCAGCTTTACCAAGACGTGTCCATAGGTTTGTTTTGGGATCAATTCATGTAGCCTATTGCTATTGTATCTTTTATTGTGGATATTGTTTTGGTGAAAAGTGCAACAGTAATTAGGCCCGAGCCCCGAACGGGGAAAGGGCCTATTGTTTTTGCTCGAGAGATGTCATATTCTGCTCTTTGAGCCTTAATTTCACCCCCTGAACATGCATGAAAAGTTGTAAAATTTTGCCCAAACATCAGACCTGGTGAAAAATTTGATATTTTGTAGGGTTGGGCGATATGGGCCTCAGCATGTATCACAATTTTTGTTGGTATGTATCACGATATGACGATATGATAATTTGAACAAAGCCTCATATAAAAGATATAAAAACTTAGCACTGATCATTTTAAACACACTTGCCTCAAAGTGCATTTACTGATTTATTGGCAGCAAAATGTGTAATACAGCTATTGTATATAAAACGTATTAACAAAACTGAATTGTAGAGAATTCTGTTTTGTACATACTGAAAATTGCAGGCAACATGCAATAAAGGTGAACATTTGTAATTTGTAAAATATATAAAAGTTTGTCCTTTGTAATATAAAAAGTGTAGCATTATCAAATAATTATTTGATCACTTTGGCTTATGTTTCCTAATCCCAATATAGTCAAAATTATCAAATACTGTATATATTTTTTGTATCCTTTTGCGTTTCTATAATTATGTAATTATAACTTATTTGTAATTATATTGCAATGTAGACAAACACATGCATTGAAGTAAAATGAATGACAGTAAACAGTAAATAAAGCTTACCAATGGCAGAGAGAGAGAGAGAGAGAGCGAGTGTCCGAAGCAAGCCACTCGAGTCCAGTTGTTTAGGGCAGCTGCTTTCACAACATTAGATCCACTGTCGATAGTTACACACAATTGCTTCTTTTTATCTAGTTCCCAAACTACTCCCATATGTTTGAGGTAGCTCCGCGTTTTGGCACAATGTCTTCTACAATCTGCATGTCTTCACCATGGTCTTCACCGCCGCCCTCAGCCATGTTTGCTCTCTGCTCTGTTGTTGTTGTCCCTGCACGCCGCTCTGCTACACGTGTCGCGCAGATGCGTCATCAAAGTGCGCCGCACACAAACGTGTCTTCCGCTCGCTGTTTTCAGTGTTAAATGATCGTTTTCACCGGTATAAGGCATTTTCTTATCATTTAATTTACTTATACCGGTATACCGGTACAAAAAAAATATTGCCCAACCCTAATATTTTGGTGTTTATTTTTATGGGACTCAAAAAATGCCTGAACAGCGCCACCTACAACAGCCAATGGGAGTTTCAGAGGTCAAGTTTGTCGTAGAGCCATGAAATTCGGTACACATGTTTAAGTCAAGATACGACCAAAATGTTATCATGGCTCCGCCCTCTGACAAACAGGAGGCCCATAAATTTCACTGCAAAATGGAAAAATGATCCGCAATCATTTTCATACATGTCGGTTGGAAAGCGACTCCTCCTCGGCCGTTTCACCGATTGGCCTCAAAATCGCTCCAGATCATCTCAACACATGTACCTTCAAAATGACCAAAGAGATTTTTGATCAGTGAAACGTTGTTTGAGCAGCAGAGCGGCAAAATGTGAGTGTTTTTTTGACCATTTTTACAACATTAATTTTGCTCCCGTTTGCACAAACAAAGTCTGATTTGGACAAAACTTGAATCCAATGTTCAACTCCAGGGTTTAGGTCAGGTGAAAGTGAAATATTTGAAATTGGCCCATTAGCGCCCCCTACAGATTGAGGTGAAGTTTTACATGGGGTGCCAAACAGCTCTAATCATCATATTCATAACAATTTGACTAACATTCTTCTATGGCAACAGCAACAAATCATAACACGGCGGCCCCACCTCCTTTGCACGGTGCTGCGTGGTACGATGTGGTGCAGCGTAGAACGGGGGGTTGTGGAGCGGCGCGTTGCAGCTTGGTGCGGGGCGGCGTGGTGCAGATCCGCTTGATGGGCGGCTTGATGCATGGCGGCTTGGTGCGGGGCGGCTTGATGCGGGGCGGCTTGGTGCTGGGCGGCTTGGTGCGGGGTGGTGCGCGCAGTGCGGCGAGGGCCGTTCGATGCCGCTTGCGGCTTTAATTTTTAATTCTTGCTGGTTTCCGGTTGACTTTGGCAGTAGATAAATCAATTCATTACAGCTAATCCATCCATCCATCCATTTTCTACCCTTTAATCCATTTCTGGGTCAGGGGGGTGGCAGTCAGAGATGCCACCCAAGTCTCATAGCACCAGCCCCTCACTGACCCTCTGCAGGTGGTGAGTCCACAGGAGGACGGCTGCTCTGAGTGTGAGCATAGCCTTGATCTTTCAGTGGGGGCTTTGGGCAAAGTGGGGTTAAGTGTCTTGCCCAAGGACACAACGACAGCAGTCATCAGTGGGAGTCGGTGGAGAAGGTGCAGTACACCAGAAGCTGCTGTACAGCTAATCCATTATTGAAATAGTTTCAAACGAATTTAGTAATGAGGTAATCATTTTGTGGACCGAATTGACAAGACTGCGATAATTCTAAAATCTATCAATCAGTCGATAAATATCTTTATTGAAGAGGGGTTCTGTAATGACTGGACTGAAAAGTATTTCAAACAACCCAATACAAATATTGACATAATATATAGTAATTGACCCAGTATTTGTCACAAAATACATAAACTTCAAGGAAAATTCATCTTTAATGAATACATGAAACATGAATGTTTAATTGGGGCCCAATAGCCTTTTCTTTTTTTTTTTTTACTGAACCATATTGTATCATTTAGAAATCTTATTGAAACATAATTATTGTATGGTTTTGCATAGTATTGGTAGGCTCTGAAAGAAACCTAGCCCTAATGGGGATAATACTAATCCGTAGTTCGTCCTGTGGGTGAGGATGGTTCATTCATTGATAATTTTTGTGTCGTACACCGCCTTACTCACTGTGCTCAGACCTTTGGCGCCCCAGAGGGAGACCCGGGTATGGTGTCGTC